CTTCGCTCTTTCCTCTCCTATCATTCCCTCCATGAACCCCTCCAATCGGGTTTCTGTGCTGCCCATAGCACAGAAACTGCTCTGGTCAAGATCACAAACGACATCCTGACCATGTGTGACCAGAGGCTCCCTCTGCCTCCTCATCCTCCTCGACCTCTCCGCCGCCTTTGACACCGTGGACCACTCAGTCCTCCTCCACGGCCTCTCTTCCCACCTCAACCTTCAAGGTTCTGTCCTTGACTGGTTCAGGTCCTACCTTTCACACTGCCTCCACTTCATCGCAGCAAACTGTTTCTCCTCCAGCCCCTGCACTATCTTGTGCGGTGTTCCTCAGGGCTCTGTCCTCGGTCCCCTCCTCTTCACCTTCTACATGCTCCCCTTGGTGACATCATCCACAGACATGGGGTAAATTTCCACATGTATGCAGATGACACCCAACTCTACCTATCTGCCTCCACCCTCAACTCCAGGACTACTGGTGTCCTGACCGACTGCCTGTCCGACATCAAGTCCTGGACGAGGGCCAACTTTCTCTAACTCAACGTCAGCAAGACCAAGGCCCTCCTGAATGGCTCGCGCCAGCAACTCCGCACCTTGGGCACTGGCAGCATCAGCCTCCACGGCTGCACACTCAACCTCACTAAGCCAGTCAGGAACCTGGGTGCCTTGTTTGACCCTAAACTGTCCTTTCTCCCCGACATCCGCGCCATGACTGGCACTGCCTACCACCACCTCCGCAACATTGCCAGACTCCGCCACTGCCTCACCCCTCAAGCTGCCGAAACCCTAACCCACGCATTTGTCACATCAAGGCTCAATTACGGGAACTCCCTCCTCATCGGCCTTCCCAACTCTTCCCTTCACAAGCTGCAGATCATCCAAAACTTTGCAGCTCGTATACTCTTGCCCACCAGGCTCCGTGACCCCATCACTCCCAGCTTCGCCCAACTCCACTGTCTCCCCATCCCCCAGAGGATCGAGTTCAAGATCCTCGTCCTCACCTTTAAGGCCATCCATGGCCTTGCCCCATCCTACCTCTCTGACCTGCCGACTCTCTACCAACCTGCCCACTCCCTCCGCTCATCAGGCTCCGGCCTGCTCCATGTCTCCCGCCCGACCCGCCCTACCATCAGTGGCCGGGCTTTCAGCCTCTCTGCCACCACACTCTGGCACTCCATCCAACAGTCCTTTCACCTCGCTTCCTCCCTCGCATCCTTCAAGGCCAGTCTCAAGACCCTTCTCTTCGAACATGCCTTTGGTCTCCCTCCCACCTCTCTGCCTTCCCTCACCCCCTACACCACCCTTCCCCCATGCTCAGGCCCCAACATCTGACTGTTCAGCGCTTTGGGACGTCCTCCTGACATGAAAGGCGCTCTATAAATGTAATTTTGTTGTTGTTGTAAGGACATGAGAGTACATACAATATTGACAGGAATTTTTTAGTAATATTAATGACAAAAAGGCCAGTGCTGACAATGTGTTGTGTCCACTGTGTGAGCTACAGGAATCCTAGCTGGAGGAGTTCGGACAATAGTGATCATCCTGGAGACCATTGGCCTTCCCACCAACGACATTTTTTTCATATTAGCTGTTGACTGGATTGTGTAAGTACTTCAGACCCTAGAGCAATCTGAATTATAGTCTGTAATAATAATAACAATCCTTGCATTTAGTATAACACTTCATCACGCTGTCAAAACATCTCAAAGAACTTCACAGTGGCTTGACTGTATTTTGTGGGCGAAACACCAATTGTCCCACAAACATTCATGGATAGAGTGACAATTTTTTAAATTTTGGGGCCATTGTTGGCCAGGATACCGAAAGAGTGAAACTTCCTTCTCTTTTCGAATAGCACTGTGCTTTAAAGTCCACCTGAACAGGCAGCAGGGACCTCAGTTTAATGTCTCATCCGAATGGCCATCTTCGACAATGTCATTTTCGAATATGTCGCTTCATTTTAGATACCCACAAAATACAGTCAATTCATTTTACAGTATATCCTGTGAAATGTTTTCAAACAACGTGATAAGGTATTTTATCAAATACAAGTATTATTATTATTATTATAATCTTCTTTGCTGGGTGACCTATGACTGATCAGGGTGGCACAGTGCTGCCCTGTTAATAACCCAAAATAATTCCAATCGCATTGACAGGGACCGGAGCAACACAATGGTGAACGTGGAGGGAGATGCGATCGGAGCAGGAATTCTCCATTACACCAGCCTGAAGGACCTGGATAAGTAGAAAGTACAACTGGTGGAGGCGGAAGCCATGGTAAACAGTACATCAGGGGCAGAAAAACTCCACTGGTCAGCCCCATACAACAGCCCCACAGAGCAGGGATCAGAGCTTGTGCTGTGACACCAGGGAAATGTCCAGCATAGTCCATGGCAGGATCCCATTTCCTCATGGTGAACAGCACCCTTGTTTCCCATTCCCATCGTTCGTCTTTACCAAAAACCAAGTGGAAGCCTGAAATTCAGCCTGGTCTCAGCCCCTAAACTAGAGCGACCAAATAATCCTTTCATTTGATTTAGCGCCATATCACGTCATCAAGACGTCTCACAGTTCCCCACAGGATATACTGGAAAGTGTAGTGGTTGTGGGCAACAATGTCTCACAAACAGTGATGGATTGAGAGACCAATTTTTTTATTTTGATAGATTCTTGACCAGGACACCGAGAGAGGCACTCCTTTCTCTTTTCAAATTGCACTATGGGATCTTTAACGCTTTGTGTAACATAGTGTCATTGTCTAACAGCACTTATAATCCTTGCATTTGATATAGCGCTTTTCACATCTTATCGATGTCTCAAAGCGCTTCACAGAATAGACTGTAAAGTGAATTGACTGTGTATTTGTGGGCGAAACGCAGCAGCCAATTGCACACAGCAATGTCCCACATACAGTCGTAGATTGAAAATGACCAATTTATTATTGTTTTTTGTTTTGGAGGGATTATTATTAGGCTCTGTGTGGAGTAAGGAAACTTGCCCAAGGTTTCGCCCTCTGCCTGGAATTGAAGCCAGGTGTCTCGCTTGCAAAGCGAGTGCTCTAACCACTGAGCTACAGGACTCCACTTATTAACTTATCACAAAGGAATTCCGCAGCGAAACTTCAACTTTGTTTTTAAAAAACTGTTGGAACAGTCTCAATAAATTACAGTAGTGTTTAACCAGTGTGTTACTGTTCATCACGTTTCCCCCTCTCTCCCATCGAGGGTGAACATCTGTTGACTGTGAGGCTGTTATTTTTGGTCAGGCGGGTGTCTGACTCATGTGGAAACCCATCACCATTCTTACGGATATCCAAACCAAGCTGAGAATTCCATGCATCCCACCTAGAGATAGATTGTTGGAATAGAATTTGCACTCTCTCCGTGGAGGGACACGTGCTGCTTACCTAATTCCAGATAGTATTCGGCACAGGTTAGGTTTTTGATGAGGATGGCATAAAAGTTCTAATAGTCATAATCCTTCATTTGATACAGCGTCAAAACATCTTAAAGCATTTCTGACAGTTGCAGTAAAATGAAGTCACTGTGTACTTTCAAGTGAACATACCAGTCAATTTGCACACAGACATGCCCCACAAACTGTCATGAAGTCCTTTCCATTGATCGTTTATTGTACAAATTGGTTTGTTAACTGGCTAAGATATGCTCCCTGTGGGTTATTACCCCAAACTGCAAGATAAGACTCAAGTTATCTTAAAATGGTCAATCATTTTGAAATCTGGAATAAATTGCTCACAGTTTAAATAAATCCACACTTAAGTTACACAATCCAGACTTGAATTCTTGTCAAATTTCAGATGAGACAGTCCTCCAAGTTTCCAGGTCTCCGAGCTCCTGGGCACTATCGCCGCCTGCTGGCGAACAAGTGCTCCTGGGACTCTACCCCGTGTGAGGGGCGCTATATAAATGCAGGTTATTATTGAACTTAGGTGCTGCAGTGGAAAGATTTTGTAACATCCAGTTCTGTAATAGTAATAATAACCCTTGCATTTGATATAGCGTCTTATCACATCGTTGAGACGTCTCAAAGCGCTTCACAGAATATACAGTAAAGTGGATTAACTGTATTTTGTGAGTAAAACGCGGCAGCCAATAGTCCACAGCAATGTCCCACAAACCCTGTGGATTGATGGGGGGGAGGGGGGGAAGGAGAGGAATTATTACCCGTGGAAAGCAATCCTCCAATCAACTAACAACCAGGTTCCTAATTACTGCTAGACAAACAGAGGTAAACAGAGGAACCTTGCCTAAGGTTTTGCCTCATGTCTGATACATGTGGAAACCCATCATCATGCTAAACAATATCCAAACCAGAGTTCCATGCATCCAACCTACACATGGAAATTCCTGAGAAAGGTAAAGTAATGCACTCTTCCCCCTGGAGGGACACATCCTGCTTACCTAATTCTGAAAAATATTAGGTGCAGGTTGGCAAGAGCCAAAGCTTGGGGAAGCCAGAGTGTGTGTTGGGGTAACTGCTGAAGTGTAACCAGCTAAAACCTGATGTTGCTGTATGGCAAGCTTTCCCACTGCTTCTCCACACTACTCGTTAAGGCTTTGTCTTAAAGGGTTAAAGGACTGAGTGGAAAGAGTCCCTGCCCCCACTGACTCATCTGCCTTTCCAAGTCAGGCCAATGAGCCAGGCTGCTGTGCTGTCATCGCCTGTGACCTGGAATACTGCGAACCAGCCTGGTTTAGAGACTGGACTGGAGACCATCACAGTGGGCTGGCTTGATTCTGATATTCCATTGCCAAATGGATCACTTTGAGCCAGTTCAGCTCCAAGGAGACCCCCCCTTTTACCTCTCAACCCCACCACCCCAGGAAGACATTGGACTGGTCATCGGACATCCTCCACCATCAGCACATTCAATAACTTATTAGCGATTATCTATAAATCACTTTGCTTTATTCAATTCAGTTTTACTGTTACGATATGAAAAAGATCCAGTTACAATAACTCTTCTTGGCACTGGGTAACTGGATTATGCTTTTTTTTAATGTTTGATGAATTTCAATAAGAAGCGCTTCAGACACAACTGAGCGCCGTCAACTTAAATATCAGCTCTATCAATTTATAAGCAAGTTCTAGTGTTTTCCATATTATATATATAGGTTTCTTTTTTTAGTCAACATAGCTACATCTACCAGGGAGCCTGGTCCCTTTTGGTTTTACAAGATGCGTGTGTTTGTAGCTTTGAGCCAAGTGAAGAGCATCTACACACATAGCCACATTCGTTGCTCTTTACAGTATCTGAATATTTATCACTGCATATCACAATTTAAGAGAAAATATACATTAAAATTAAATCGGGTTAGCCAAAGTTTACCATTTAAACATCCCACAACAAAAAAAAATCTATAAACTGAATTTATTGAATCACTGCCATAGTCTATCCTGAGTGCGATAATTAAAGTTTGAAAAAGGATGAGACTGTGTGGCAACAACTTTTACTCTCGTCTCCACTTCATGGAGGTGAATCCACATTATATAAACCGTCCAGTCAATGATGCTACCACTGCAATCATGTGGTACAGTCGAACCTCATGATAACGAACCTCCTCGGCATGGGCAGAAAAGATTGTTATATCAAGGTGTTCGCTTTGGTCGACAAAGGTGCAGAAATTGGGTCTTGTTAATATAATAATCCTTGGATTTGATATAGCATCTCATCACATCGTTGAGACATCTCAAAGCGCTTCACAGAATATAGTGTAAAGTGAATTGACTATATTTTGTGGGTGAAACACAGCAGCCAATAGCACACAGCCGTGCCCCACAAACAGTTGTGGATTGAGTGACAAAATTATTATTACATTTTGTAGGGATTATTACCTACAGAAAGCAATCCGCCATTCGACTCGCAACCGGGTTCCTACTTGCTGCTAGGTAGAGGTGTTTGGAGTAAGGAAACTTGCCAAAGGTTTTGCCCTGCCTGGTAAACAAACATAGGTCCTTTCACTTGCAAGGTGAGTGTGCTAACCACTACGCCATAGGACTCCACCAGGGGTTTGGTATAAGTGGGGTTCGTTAGAGTGAGACTCAATTGTAATGTGTTTTTTTTTAAAAAATATAGAAGTTGGAGCCTGAATTGCCAAACCACCCGGTGTGCTAGAGGAAGGAAGGAAGCGAGCGAGTGAGCAGACAAAGCTGGCAGCCCTATGACTAAAGATGCAAATGAAAGAGCCTACAGGAGCTATCCAAATGCTTACAGTTATGAACAAGGCAGCAGAGAGGCTGGCAGGGCCCTTTGCCTTGGTTTTGTATTGCAGTCAAATTGATTGAGGAGGTTTTGAATTTAGAAATCACGAATATTTAACAAAGCTTTGCCAAGAAACCAGCATAGTAGTCAGTGAACTAAACCAGGAAGGAGCCAGGAAGTCAGACAGAAGAAGCCTATCCGTGTCAGAGAGCTGAATGATTTAGAAGATGAGCATTAAGAAAAGGAAGCAGTAGGAATCGTTTGAACTAGTGTCTTGGTTTATCGAACAGTCACTCCGAGTTTCTCCAGCACGCGAACACCCTTCTCCTCGTACTCCTGTCGAGTCATCCAGAAGTTATCCTTGTCCTTCATGATATCCGCCAGCACTGCTCCACCGAGAAACACCATGTGCTTGCGACGAGGGGGATCTTCAATCCGAATCTTGAATTTCTGTGTGAAAATGAATGTTTATTAATAATAAAATAGCTGATGTTCACCTTTCTAGCCAAGGGCAGCGAGAACAATATCAGTGCTTCCACCCAAGTCAGATTTATTTTTTGGTTAGCGGCTGGCTGCCTGACACACGAGGAAACCCATCACCTTGCTTAAGAGTATCCAAACCAAAATGAGAATTCCATGCATCCCACGTACACATGGAAATCCCAGAGATAGATTGTTGGAATGGAAACTTTCCCTGAAGGGACACATCCTGCTTATCTAATTCCAGAAAGTATTAACATCCTCTTATGCCTCTCACTCCCCATTTAACAGGAGTGGGTCATTCAGCCCCTCAAGTCTGTTATTCTACTAGATCATGGCTGATCTGTAGCTCAACTCCAATTACCCGACTTTGCACTGTATCCCTGGATATCCTGACCTAACAAATAGCGATCTACCTCTGTCTTGAAAATTTGAATGGATCCAGAATCCAGTCTTTTGGGGGTTAGTGATCCAGATTTCCACTGTCCTTTGTGTGAAAAAGTGCTTCCCAATTTCACTCCTAAATGGCCTAATTCTAATTTTAGCCCCCTTGTTCTGGATTCCCCCACAAGTTGTCAGAGATGCATTTGGCCTCGTCACTCCATCTATGTAACGGAAGATGTTGCACCGAACATGGCAATGGATCATTATTTACAATGAAAATGATGGCTCTCCCTCACACCGATTCTCTGGCCATCTAAATACAGTTACACGCTTGTACTGAATACAATTAAGTAATTCTAAATACAAATATTGTTCTTCCACAAGTTTCAGTGGTCAGTGCAATGTAGAAAAAACATGGGAGTGCCAGGAATTTGTAGACAACCTTTACAATGTGACAAGTTCTTCAAATTGAAAATCATCGAGAGCTGTAGTTCCCACTTACAGACAGTTTTTCGATGTCTCCCTTCAGCACACGTTCCAGGTAAAGTTGTTTCAGTTCACGCTCCAAACGGGAAGGCAAGCCAGGGTACATAGTGGAGCCACCAGAAAGGACAATGTGCTTGTAGAATTCAGTTCTTGGAGAAAGCAAGTTAATTATTATTCGATAACAGAACATCTAACAAACACTTCTTTTATATTGCAAAGAAAGGCTCTGGCCTCCAGCTCGGCCCTCGTGTCCTCCGCTCCACCATCAGTGGCTGTGCTTTCAGCACTACACCCCAACGCTTTGGACCTCTTTCCCTGAATCCTTCCGCCTTGTCCCCTCCTCCCTCCCCTCGGTGTCAGGCTCCGCCAAGGTTAAGCGCTCCGAGGCACTACCCAACGTGAAGGGCGCTTTGTAAATGCAAGTTGCTGCTCAAGACTCCCAAACTCCATGACAAAGAGAAGGCACCATTCTGCATGGACTCCAGGATCTTTATACCAAATGACCTTCCAATTCATCCACAGACATCATGTGAGCATCACGCAGATGACCAGTGCCTGTGCAAGACCACAATTTAAATGTTTTGCAGGTATTCAATCTAACAGTAGCAGAGATCAGGAGATGCACATGGAAATGATAGCAGCAAGACACGTGCACAGCACGGAGTCCACTTGCCACAGCTCCATCACTTTTCCCATTCGAGTCTGAGGAAACAGGAGATTTGACTCAGTCTCTGGAGATCAATACTGGACCGGGAAAACCAGCAAACCTAGTGGTCTAATAGTGCACTATGTTAAGATTTTTAGGCGTGCACACGCACACAGTGGTAACAATAATCTTTTCTTTAAAAACCATCGAGTTTTTTTAAAAAAAGGAAAAACAGTTCTAGCAAAGCTTCTCATGTAAAAACACAAAAGAACAATGAGATGATAGAAATATACATGAAGTAGAATAAATGATTTTTTCACAGCAAAGTATCTTATGCCTGTGTTTTGTTAAAAGTGATCTCTATTCAGCGCTGATGGCCCCACCCCATACCTGGTGTCAATGTCAGCCGCCTGGATTGTATTAAAAAGCAGTTCAGCCACTCCGACACCTTCAACGTTGATAAGATGAGGTTGGAACAGAGCTTCCGGGGCTTCAAAACGCTCCCCTCCAACTTTGATGACCCGACCATCTGGAAGCTAAAATAGATAGCTGTTGAAGTTAAGGCTGCAAATCCAATGTTGAGACGCAAAACTCTTTTGAAAAAACTTAGAAATGGCTCTATATACAGGGTGGTCACAAAGTCCTGTTAACCCTGTTCCCCCTTACAATTAATTTTTATTTTCTGTTGCAGATGAGTCGAGGATAACATTGTCTGATCCCAGGATCTACGGAGGAGCTGAAACAAGCTGTCAGAGATGCATTTGGCCTCATCACTCCATCCATGTTTTAGAAAATGTGACACTGAACATGGCGATGAATTATTATCTGCTATGAAAATGATGGCTTTCACTCACACCGATCTTCTAGACATCTAAATGCAGTTAAACACTTGTACTGAATATAATTAAATACTTCTAAATACAATTATCATCATCTGCCACATGCTTCAGTTGTTGGTCAGTACACTGTAGAAAATAACACGAGGGTAACAGGACTTTGTGAACATGTACATGTAGGATGATATCTTTATTAGATTAATGCACTGACCTCAACAACACCTAACAGTGCATGGTATTTAAATAAGGTATTGAAAACCTTTTTTTTTTAAAAAAAGGAAGACTGAAGTTCAGTAAAAAGATCTGTACAGAATACCCTTTAGAAAATATAAATTTCAACAAATTAGGATAGATCCTGTCAGATGTGCTGAGTATCAGGAGATCAGAAATCAGTTAGAAAGTGCAGAAATTGGGATTTTGTTGTGGATGGGGAACAGAATAAGACAAAATTAACCTAATAGTTGAAATGTTATTCAGACCATTAAAGATCAGAAGTGTGGAAATATGAAATAAAAGCTAATAAATGTTGAAATGTTAGCCTCTATCTTTCCGTGCAGATTTACCTATGGTACATTTCCAACATTTTCTATTTTCATTGTAATAATCCTCGCATTTGATATTATACAATATTGTAACCAAATTCCGAGATAAACACTAATGGTGTAAATTATTTTAGATGCCTGTTCTTAAAAACAAAGGCAGCTCACAAGCTTTGGGGCCATGAATACACACCGTGTAGGACTCCACAAGAACAGTCGTCTCTAAGGCCAGTTTCTGCTCCTGTTCAATGTTGTAACCCACGTAGCACAGTTTTTCTTTCATCATCCGCACGGTTTCAAAATCTGCCGAGTGGTTGAAAGCGTACCCTCGCAGCAAAAGCAACTAAGGTTAAAACAAAGACAAATTTGAACAGAAATTTGTGTCACTTCAACTACAAATTACATTTACAGAGGGACTTTAATGTCGGGACAACTTCCCAAGTTGCTGGCAGTCAAGGATTTTGACCTGAGATAGGGTTGGGATCAGGCCGGGTGAAGAGCAAGGAGGGTGGGGGTAGGATAGTGGCAAAGGTGTAGTTGAAGAGGAAGGTCTTGAGACAGGCTTGAAGGAGGCAAGGGAGGGGGCGAGGCAAGTTGCAAAGGCCTGACCGCCAATGCTGGGGTGGGCAGGTCAGGGGACTTGGAGTAAGCCAGAGCCGACTGAGTGGACAGGTCAGTATTGAGTTAGCAGGTCACAGAGGTAGGGAGGAGCAAGGCTGTGGAGGGCTTTCGAAGTGAGGATGGGATGATAGGGTCATGGAGGTTCAACAGAAGCAGACTTTTACATGTAGGAGTTTCAACTATGTGAAGTTTGTAAACAGATTTATGGGTCTCACACAAAAACTGAAAAGTTATTTGGTCAAAGCTCCAAAGAAATGGGGAATTATGAATTTCTGATCCAAAATCTAAGATATAATAAGCCTTTCATTTAATATAGTACCTTATATCGTTGGGAAGTCTCAAAGAGCTTCACAGAATGTACTGCAAAATGGAGTGACTGTATTTTGTGGGTGAAACCCGGCAGCCAATTGCACACACCCATGGATTGAGTGACCAAATTATTGGGGGGGGGGGGTTATTAACCCTGGAAAGCGATCTGCCAAGCGATCCTGGCTAACAACCGGGTTCCTACTTACTGCTAAGTAAACAGAGGTGTGTAGAAGTAAGGAAATTTGCCTAACGTTTCACCCCGCCAGGAAATTGAACCCGAGTACGCTAACCAATACGCTACAGAACTCCAAATAATAAAAAAAAGTAATGAAAGTGTAACAATAATAAAAACCTTTTTTCATAAAAAGGTTAAAATGGTGAATAGCCAAATTAAAAGAAACAAAGAAATTAATAATAATAACCTTGCATTTAATATCGCGCTTTATCATGTAATGACTCACCAAAGCACTTCACAGGAAATACCGTAAAATGAATTGACTGTATATTATTTGGGTGAAATGTGGCAGCCAATTACAGCAGTGTCCCACAAACAGTTGTGGATTGAGTGACCAAATCATTATATATATATTTTTTTTTCATTTTGTGGCGGGATTATTACCCCCAGAAAGCTATCCACCAATCGACTAACAACCGGGTTCCTACTTACTGCTAGAAAAATAAGAGAAATAAGAGATAGGAAAACAAGGTCTGCAATCTGCAGGAGAAGTATGTTACATATGCCTCACCCACAAGTTCTTGTGAAAAGCCTGCCAAATTAGTCTAACCTGAAGCACCATCTCCCAGGCATTTCAAAGGCTATTACTCAAACAGGATTGTCTACCCAGTGTTCCATTACCTCTAAGCAGCAAGTTTGTCATTTAAAAGTTAAATTTATGGAGGTAAAGGAATGGCAATATGTTTTGGCAAACAGGTGGGTCAATGTAATGGCTCAAATATTCCTTGAAAACATCTTAAAACTTGTTTGTCAGCTTGGCTCAAAAGAAAACAAGAGTTTGCTAGGCGAAAGAAGAGCAAGGTTCATCTAGTTCACCTTCCACCAGTCACTTGACATGTTGTCTCAAACTATATACTGTATCCCGAGATATTATATTATATTCTAGCAAAAATCTATTGGATTTGTTCTTGAAACAAACTGCTTCCACTATTTCCCTAGGGAGTAGTTGTAGCATTCTCTCCTCCAAGTCAAAAGGTTGTGGGTTGAAATCTCACGTCGGGACTTGAAATCACATAGCCGAATGCAATGCGGGGGGTTTGCATCGGAGGTGCCGTCCTTTGGGTGAGACGTTAAACCAATCTGTCTGTTCAGGTGGGTGTTAAAAGATTCCTTGGCAATTCGAAAAGGGAGAAGGGAGGTTCTCTCTCCCCTGGTTTCCTGGCCAACAACCCTCCAAATAAAATTGGCCGCTTGTTTCTTGGTTGTTTGTGGGACACTCTTATGCGCAACTGGCTGCCACATATCACTCACAAAATACAGTCTATACTTTACAGTATATCCTGCGAAGAGCTTTGAGACATCTCGACAACTGTGCTAGTTCTTTGCTCCATATTCACACAAGCAAATAAAATTCAGCCTAACAATATCCATAAACTAGGTTAACTAGGCTCAGTGAGCTGGGAGTTCTCTGCAGACTGAAACAGTTTCCTGATTTAACTACAATGTGAAAAGTCAGCATGACCGATCTAGATTCTTCAACACTGAGAAGCAAGCACCATGGCAGCTTTCCTGCACATTATTTTCTTCTCCAAATAGCTGGAAAAATTCAAGATGAGTAACACAATACTGTCCTCTTCAACAACAGTTAAGTGAGGGTTCTGCCACAATATCACCATGTAAGTGAATTTATGTACATTTGTATTTCCATCAGTTTAAAATGAAATGATAATGAAACGTTGCTGCAATTTTCCAGTAAAAGGTGAATACTTAATATCCCATGCAATATGACAAAATCATGCAATGACAAATTGAGGGATTGAGATTAAAATAATCCTTGCATTTGATATTATGAAGTCTCAAAGCGCTTCACAGTATTATTGTAAAGTGGATTGACTATGCATATTGTGGGCGAAACATGGCAGTCAATTGCATACAGCAGTGTTCCACATATAGTCGTGGATTGAATGACCACATTTTATTTGGGGGATTTGTTGGCCAGAACACTTTTTTTGTATTATCACCAGAAAGTGATCCATGAATCAACTAACAACCGGGTTTCTCCTTACTGCTAGGTACTTAGTGACAGTATTGTGTTACTCACAATGACAGAGGCGTGTGGAGTAAGGAAACGTGTCTAAGGTTTCTCCCTGCCCAGAAATTGAATTTGGGTCCTTTCGCTTGCGAGGCAAGCATGCTAACTACTATGCTATGGGACTCCATTTGGACATTTTTTAATGGTTCAATTCAATGATGAATTACCTGTGAATTAACCACATAACTGTAGTATTTCCCTTCTCACCTTAATGAGATACCGGGTAATGTCCCTGCCTGCAATATCCAGTCTTCGTGTCAGGTGAGGCAGAGAAAATCCCTCATATACAGGGCAGATGTGGGTTACGCCATCACCAGAGTCCACAACAACACCAGTTAGTAAACCTGAAGAGCAAAACAGGAGAGTTAAGTTTTCTTAACATTAAAATTTTTTAAAAGTACACTTCATACAACGTGTCTACATACGTTTGTGCACATGTGCATAGTTCCCTTAAATGAGCATCACTGAGAATAACATATAGGTTTGATGCCCAGCCACTAACGTGCTAGTTTCCACCACAGGCAGAAGCTAGGCAATTCCCTTGAGGAAGAAGGGGTTGTATTCACACACCTTCCAGTGACTGATTCACAGCAGTACCGGCAGACCTGAGAGCAGATCTCCCACACTACCTTAGTAATATGTGACCTGGGAAACGGGGGGGGGGGAAATGTTTACCCCAAACTTCCTAATTAAATAATAATAATCCTTGCTTTGGATATAGTGCCTTAGCATGAAGTTGAGACGTCTCAAAGCGTTTAACTGAATGTATTGTAAAGTGAATTGACTGTGTATTTTGCGGGCGAAACGTGGCAATCAATTGCGCACAGCAGTGTCCCACAAACAGTCGTGGATTGAGTGAATTTTTTNGAGGGATCATTACCTTGGAAAGTGATCCGGCAATCGACTAATAACCGGGTTCCTAATTATCACTCGGTAAATGGAGGTGCGTGGAGTAAGGTAGCTTGCTTAAGGTTTCTCACTACCCAACAATCGAAACCAGGTCCTCTCGCTTGCAAAGCGAGTGTACTAACCAATATCTGCATACTGTTTTATATCAAATTACATTTACAAACTTATTTATTCAGACACCTACCTTGAGCATATAGTGTCAACACAGCTTGAATTGCAATGTACACTCCACTAAACTGATAGGTTTCAAACATGACCTGAAATGAACAAAAGACACAAATTCCCAAACTCAGATTAGCTCGTCATACATTCTGCCACCCGCTTCCACAAGTGATTCAACAACTTTATTACACACTTAAAATATTATACTTAAAAATCCTGCAACAAAATATAATAAACTACAATGGAAATTGAGGAATTCTGCCAACATGAGCAAGTTGACCAATACCCCCCATCATTTCCTACTAATTTTCTAAACAGATGGAATTAATGCAGAATTTGACTGATTCTATTGTCTAAACAACTCATTGCGTTGTCCAAGGTTCAACTGGAATTCTTACATTAACATTTGCTGACCTCAAAACAAGTGAATTTTCCTTATGAATGAACGGACTTTTACCATGCTTGGGGTGGCTTGATATGGCTAATCGCTTCAGTACTTTTGAGTGAGTAGAAGCAGGAAGGCACAGTCATGTGTGTACAACACTCGTACGACATTCATTTTACTCACTTTGGACTGAGTGGATAGGTTAGATTCTGGCATTAACAAGTGATAAATATTTTAAATTGATTTTTAATGTAATTTTGGGCAGCAAACACGCATTCGTTTTTTTTTCTAATTGTGTCTCCTGCACCTCCCAATTTCTACCCCCAAGAGGACCTATTCCAAAGAGTGTCAGCTCATCTACAGACCTCCAGAAGCAAGTGGCTTCATGTTTCTATGAAGTGTAGCAATCTTCAGTCCAAGACAAACCCAGAAGAATGATTCACATCAATCCATGTAATCCATGTGAAATTTATCACATTAAATGGATCAGATGCAGACACACCTACGCAATGCTGTTTTTATTGGTGAAATATATGAAGTCAGGTACTTTGTCATTGGACTTCCAGGTCACAGTCTTCAGCTACTGGCTAGTGGGATATTTGCTTTTGATACTCAAAATGCCAATATCCTGCTGAGCAGCAGTTAGGTTAATTGCTACTCACCCAACTTCACCATTCAAAATAGCATCAGATCTGTCTCCAACCCATTCAATGTGAAAAGTGTCACATAGACTATAAATTTCAACCCAATATTAGTCATACTCTGATCTTTACTAATATCAAAGGTGAAGGTTATTCAGTATATTACACAAAGTGATTCTGGCTCTTGTGACATGAAATGCAATTTCCTGTTGTAGTTATTACTAAGTTAGCCTTATCCATGTTCAAAAGGCTCCAGAAATCCTATCCTATGCCAACAGTCACTACTCTCCTCCTTGCTCGGTGTCTGGCACCCTCTCTGTAAAACTCTCTGAGATGAATCCGTACGTAAAAGGTGCTAAATAAATGTTGGTAGGATTTTAGGAGGTCACAGAGGTAGGGCAGAACAAGACAGTGGAGGGCTTAAAAGGCAAGTACAAGGATTTTAAAACTCAATCCTCTGTGGGTTGGGGAACCAGTGAAGCAGGGCAAGGGTGCATGCAAGAATAACATGGGATGACTCAGCCTGAGTGATAGACTTATTATTTGGACTTTGCTTGGGCCTTAACTTGCTGATACCTAAACCAAATGTAAATAGAGTATAAGCCGGTCTTAAGACCTTCCTCTTCCACTGCACCTTCAGTCTCAATTCTCCCTGCCCTCCACCCCTCCTGTTCCCACCAGCTCGGGTGAAAACCCTTGAGTGTCTAGCACCTTGGGACATCCTCCCGATGTGAAAAGCATTATACAAATGTAATTTGTTTTATAATGCTGCAAACCAAGAGTTACAATAAATGACAGGACCTGACGTTTCTTACTTAAATCACATTTTTATGATACCTAAAATTAATTTTATAAGGGGACAGGTTAAGAAGTCACCAACAAGTTAAATCATTGAACAATATATTGTACTTTCGCAATGGCCACACCTTAAACACGTTATCTATTAGTCAGATGTTTTTGCACTTGCATTTGCCACACAGCAAACTAGGCAGACAAAAGCTGCTATTGTTTGCTATACGCCAACTGTAAGTCCAGAAGGTTGTATTAATAGCTGGGCAGAAAAAACACTACAGTCCAGAATGGGTAACCATTTCTCAAACACAAAAAACTAAACAGCAGCAGCTATGTCAGGGATTCTGACCTCAGAGGTCTGGGCATAATGCTGGAAAATTGTGGGAGGTGTTTCTGTACTCACAAATCTCTTAGCGACATAAACACTAGACCTGGTGATTTTATTCTTCCTCCCTTACTTTTCCACAAAGCTGTTTTAGCTGAGGGCTGTGTGACAGATCCCAGTAATTCTGCTTTAAATTGGCCACATTGTACGCAGGAGTGTGACTGCCTTCCACGCTGTAAGGAAAAATTGGGCTCCACTCCAAAGTGGAGATGGGGAACAAATTACTCCCACACCCAGTCACCCACACTAAGGCACATTTGAGCAGAGGAAAGAAAGATTGCTTCAAAGTCTACCTTTGCATCTGAAGGAGTAAAGCTATCGGGTAGGAGATTTCTACCACTAATTTATGGTAACATGCTGATCTGAGCTATTCAGAATATATTTTTTGGTATCTTTGATCACTTAATAGACCAAAATATAACTTCATTATTGTGAATGGCATTAGGCAAAACAGGAACGGAATAACCAAAATCAAGTGTGCACAGCGATATACCTCACCCATCCTGATAACTTAGAATTTATAATAATAATCCTTGCATTTGATAGTCCTTTTCACGTCTTCTAGCCATTTCATAGCGCTTCACAGAATATACTGTATAGTGAACTGACTGTATATTTTTGTGCAAAACGCAGCAGCCAATTGTGCACAGCAGTGTCCTACAAAGAGTCGAGGATTGAAGTGACCAATTTTATTACTGTTTTTTTTTCTTGAGGGATTATCATCAGGCATCAGGAAACTTGCCCAAGATTTTGCCTTGCCAGGAATGAAACCCAGGTTTCTCGCTTGGGAGGCAAGTGCTCTAACCACTGAGCTACAGGACTCCACAAATGATGCCGTAGCTCAATTTGCTCTCTTTTCCTGACACAGGATAAATATATTGAATAGATCACCAGAAGAAAATAACGACTTGCACTTATATAGCGCCCTTCATGCAGGGTAGCATCTCAGAGCACTTAACAGCAGCGGAGTCTGACTCCGAGCCGGGAGGGAGGGGGAGGCCGAAAGCAAGGTCGAAGAGGAAGGTTTTCAGGCGGGACTCGAAAAAGGGGAGAGGGGGCAAGGCGGAGGGATTAAGGGAGAATGTTCCAGAGTTTTAGGGTGTAGTGGCTGAAAGCATGACCATTTGCTGCCATATTACAAATGCTACACGCCTTTGTGTTCTATGTTAGGAAATGATGTGACACAGCTTTAATTTTATTTTGGCATCAGAAAAGGCAATTGTTTCCTCAACATTATCTCAAGTGTATCTTTATCCCTTCTTTTAAATCTGCTTCATCCAATGGCTTTTTAAGAAAAACAGATGCGTTTGGAGAAAAAAAAATTGCACATGAAAACCAAGTTTTTTTTAAAATTGATAAAACATCTTATTAAAGTTAGCTAGAACTATTGGAGTGTGTCTGTATGTGTGCACTTCCTTTTATATCGGTTACAAAGCATCTTAAACCAAGAAAAGTACAATGTTACATGCATTTTGTGCTCAGCAAGAATGGAGAATGCAACACTTGCCAATGTTTACAGAAATTATTCCAAATTCAGAAGGGCCATATTTTCACTTTGGGTTTAATTTGAACAAAGGTTGAGATTACGCGAACGTTTGCACCAGGTGTTCAGAAATTAAATTTGTAATTTATTTTTAAAAGAAAACTTTAAACCTCTTCTAGACCTGCTGGACACAATAAGTTGCATAAAAACTAACATAGTTACTTGGATAGAAAACTATTCAATGTTGAAATGATGGCCAGAGTTACTTTTTGAACTGTGTTTCCGGGGGATTGGGATTTTCATATTTAATTCCACGTGTCCCACAATATCTGAAATGAATGACTTGGAGGAATACAAGCTAAACGGTTAAAAATGGTAAACTCAAAAAAGGAGCTAATCTAGATTCACTTGATCTAATTTTTCAATTTTCTAATCAATGTTTTTTTTNAGAAGCTCTCTTAAAGGTTAATTTCTATGTAGAACTCCAGCCTCGGGAACAGAGGCTTTTACACATTTGGGACACTAAAATTAGACACAGTAGGTTAAAAGATACAAAGAGGGAATCTGAATAAACAGCACAAACATATCCTGGCTAGTTACCTTTTTTGAGGATAAGCAAATATTTTATTTAGTTGTGCACCACAAATGTTATAACCATATGATATCTCTAGAATCATTGCAAATAACAGGTTTAAATAAAAAACAATCAACTTTCACACCCTCTGATCATTGTACATTCAGTTTACCAAAGAAAACAAGCGCCCAATGGTCAAGGCAAGTTATAGTGGCAAATGACTGGTTTCAGGGAAAATATAACCTATTTTTGACACCGAAACAGACTTAAGTGCTTGTGAACTGCCTGGTTCCAAATCAAGAACTCACCAATAAATCTTTTGCTAACAGATTTCTGATCCCCGTTTGTCCCACTCCGACACTGACATTTTAAAGTTTGACTTAATTCAGTATAACACTTTTGCAAGGTGACAAGTACAACTCTTTATAAGTTAGTATCATCTTTCTTCCTCTACTTTGTTAGTTATGTAAATTAGAGGCTGAGGATTTTTGAGTTGATAGTTGACAGAGTTTTCTGGACCAATAGTCTTTCGCAGCAGAGATTCCACTCGCCTCAGCAAACAGTCATGATATTTGGCAGTAACTATTCTTAAGCGCTTCTGCGTGATAAAGTGCTCCAAAAAGACAATCACTTCTTTCCAAACATTTTCTTACCTCTATTATCTTTTCTCTGTTTTTTGTTGGGTTCATTGGGGGTTCTGTCAGAAGGATCTTGCAGTTCCTGGAGTCTACATTTAGCTTCTCAGGGCCAAACGTATAATCCCACAAATGTTTCATGTCTTCCCAGTTTCGTACTATTCCATTTTCCATTGGATAATTAACCTCCAGCATAGAGCGTAGTTCACTAGCTTCATCGCCCACCATGAGATCCTGTTCGGAGGGTTGGTTGGGGGTGGGGAGAGGAAAGAGAAAATGAGTACTAAATAAATCCCATCCCATGGGAATGGGTCAGCTTATTAAAAACGATCAATCAATAACTAAATAGCCAAAACACAAAAAGTCAGCACATCCTGAAAAGATCAACTTGAAAGAAAAACAGTAAAAGAAACTGGTTGAATGCAAGAGTTGTCAGATGAATTAAGGTGCATAGAAATTATTTTAAATCAAGTTGTATTATTTTGCATCCTGAGCAATATTTAATACAATTTCAACAGCATGGTTTGCAAAACAAAAGTGAAATGTGATTTTATTCAAGTTGTAAAACCAAATTCAACTCCAACTCCACTAGCTGGAAGTAGGTGGATACAAGATTAAGTTTTTTTTATTGTTGAGATATCATCTGAATTGTAACAAGAGTGAAAATATAACTTTAGCAATTCATTTTTAGGTTCTGCATCCTGAAGAATGCGTTAGGGAACAAGTACCAAGACTTGCAAAATGCAAGTATCAATGTTATTTTGTTGATTAGACATGCCATTCATCAAATGCACAAACTCATTCACACAACTGACAGTGAACATTATCAATTAGTAATGTACTTGTTTACATTACCCATCCATAATAGATTCACATTAATTAATGCACATTCTATTAATTTTAATACAATAATGTCTCCAATTAAGTTGCATTTTCTCAGCAGGATGGGTTTTGTTTTTAAACAAAGCACTAGCACATGCAGATTATGGTCCAGTGTTCAAATGACCAATGGAAAAGGACGTATGCCAGTATCAAGGGCACACAGCTTTTAATTTTGCATTTACGTATTTCCTTTCCAAAGGTATTCTTCTAAAAGGAATTCAAAGTTAAACCCGGTGAAACATTTATTCGCAGTTCATCTCCAAGCAGCATGCAACATTTCTCAAGGCCCTGAGAGATGCCCACCATTTTCAAAAATTCTTGCATTTGCACAAAAGTGATCTGAAACTGCCCTCAAGTTAAGTCTATGATGACAGAAAAATAATAATTTGGTCACTCAATCCATGGCTGTTTGTGGGATACTACTGTGCACAATTGGCTGCCATGTTTCACCCACAAAATATACAGTCAATTCACTTTGATTTGAAGACGTGATAAGGCGCTGTACCAAATACAAGGATTATGATAGCTTTTCTGTATCCCCCACCCAGGACAGAGTTCCTCGGGGAACACCAAATCCCTCACCTCCCTCCTCAAACCATATCCAAATGGTCATAATTCACATGTGCACCTTGGAAAGCTTTTCATCCCCGGGCATCCTAGCGAACCTCAATCCCATTTTCACTCAACACACACCTTCTTGCAAGGGTGACTGGATTGCGATCAGGAGTTGGAATCTCAGCAGCGAGCTTTCCTTCCATTATTAGTTGCACCGAGGCTAGCTGCAGCTGCCCCAATGCTGCCCAGTTGAGTTGACCAAACTGAACACAATCCAGTGTTCAAATCTGGGGCCTGCCCTATCTGCATGCCTAAGTTTCTAACCAAATAAACTTGCTGAGCCATCGGAGGTGCAGGAGATCACTTTTCAAGGTAATGTACTAACTACAGGTATATAGTATTTATACTCTGCAGTGTTATTCCAATGAGGCCACAACATTTTCACACTAATAGAACACCAAAAGCATAAACACAGCCTTAAAACAATTGGCATGTGAAGAATTTGCAACTTGTTTTAACAATTTTAAGTCAAATACTTCATGAAAATGAAAAAAGCACTATGCAATAACATTTGTAGCAAATGATTTATAATTGTAGTTTGAATGTCGCCACTACAATACAATTCATTTCAGTGGTTTTAACAAAACTACCAGTTATTTGAACCAACTAGGCCTTTTGTTTTTCACTTTCAATTAAAAGCAACACTAAAGTGTGCTTAACAATTGGTTAATGCAAACACTAAGTTCTAAATGGAATGAACTGAATCAATACACCCTGGTTAGTTTCAACCTAATGTTAGTATTTGCTCTAATCTCGGCTGCATACAACTCTACTACAGCCTCCTAATGCAAATCATCATGCACACTCACTCTAGCCCTTAACCCAGTCTCTAATGTTCATTAGCATCTTTGTATGGTCTTTGGAATGGTTTTTCTTCAGATTACTCCCACCCATGTTTTCAGAGTTTTTTCTTACAGATTTTCCCCAGGCTAGAGACAATGGGGCGAGCTGCAAACTTCACTGCTTCTAATCCAGAAATGATACTTCTTGATATGTCACTATAATTCATACAGGGATGCGACAAAAAGAGAAAATAGCAGTACGGTTGGGTGTGTAAGAAATTGGGTGTTAACAAATACGATAACAATACTTCGATGTGAAGGGACAGTGTGAACTAAATGCTGTATTACTAAATTGTTACAACTGTATTAATAGAACTTACAAATTAACATGAAGTAATCGCTGTACTGCACATTGTTGGGAGTATTGAATAATCAAACCTGACTGATGGCAGTGTCCTCCTACAGCAGCACTCACACACAAAATGGTTGGATCCTATGGTTGGCGCAGACTCAGGAATAGATGGATTGTAAAATATTTTAAAACAGAAAGGAAGTTTCGTTTACTCTTTTATTCTTCAAATCTTCCTTCAGAATTCCTCCACTCTTAACTCTTTTTTCTTGAAGGCACTGACTCCAGACAATAAGTAGGTTCCAGCAAACAGTTCCTCACAAAAGGAACCTTTTTGCACAAACACAAATTGCAATTATATTGAGCCATTTACATAAGAACACCTCGAAGCATTTACCAGGAACACTATTTATTTTGCACTGCTTTGCCCTCTCTCTTTCCTTCCCCCGCTCTACTTTTCAAATCCCGCCTGAAAACCTTCCTTTTCGACCATGCTTACGGTGACACCCTCCTTCCAGCTCGGAGTCAGACTCCGTCACTGTTACGCGCTCTGAGACGCTACACAGGATGGAGAGCGCTATATAAGTGCAAGTTGTTTTTTCAGCAAGTAGTGAGGGGGAAACTTAAGAGATGGTGGAAAGCATGATTAAAGAAATAAAGGTTTTTAGGTACCCGAAAGTTGAGAAGAACAGCTCAAATAGTAAAGTTTGTGTAGAGAGTGGGTTTGAGAGCAGAAACTGTGACAGAGAAATTAGAGGGAACGGATGAATTAAGATGCAAACTAAAGTTGTCAAGAATAAGGAGGTCGAGTCAGGTCAGGAGCAACAAAAGCACCAGGGTTTGTGCACAGGCTGGGGTATGTAGGAGTGAGAAGACATGTAAAGTTGGTCCACCTCCTTGATACTGAAATGTGGAGCCCAGTAAATGCCAAGAAGCGAACTCCATTGCTACGTTGCTCATCTGCCATTCACAAAAACGTTTGAGGAAATCTTCAAAGCAGAAATGTTAATAGCACTGAACATGATATCTTCCCCCCCACCCGTTTCTCTTCAGGCTCTGTGCCATTTTGTGGCTGAGCAGGTACAAAGGCAACTTTATCCCGAGCCCGTCAGTGCCATTCGTGATCCAGTAACTAAGACTAACAAAAGAGGTGTGTGAATCTGCCACCAGTACCTCCAGTCAGAAGCAACAACAACAAAATTACATTTATAGAGCGCCTTTCATGTCGGGAGGACGTCCCAAAGCGCTGAACAGTCATGGGGGAGGGGTGGTGTAGGGGTGAGGGAAGGCAGAGAGGTGGGAGGGCGACCGAAGGCACGATCAAAGAGAAGAATCTTGAGACCAGGCAAGGGAGGAAGTGAGGCGAAGGGACCGTGGGATGGCGTTCCAGAGCGTGGGGGCAGAGAGGCTGAAAGCCCGGCCACCGATGGTAGGGCGGGGCGGGCGGGAGACATGGAGCAGACCGGAGCCCACTGAACGGAGGGAGCGGACAGGTTGGTAGGGATTCAGCAGGTCAGAGAGGTAGGAGGGGGCAAGGCCATGGACGGCCTTGAAAGTGAAGACTGATCTTCCCTCTTTTTTTGAAGGGATTATTACCCCACAAAAGCGATCCACCAATCAACTAACAACCGGATTCCTACTTACTAGGTATCAGAGGTGTGTTGAGTAAGAAAACTTGCATAAGGTTTCACCCTGTCCAGGAATCGAACCTGGGTTCTCTCGCTTGCGAGGCGAGTGTTCTAACCAATACGCTACAGGACTCCGAATGAACAGCAATAACCAATTTAGTCTTGATTCAATAAGTGGCTGCACTTTACTGTGGTTACAAATAACTATTCATCTGTATCACTGAAAGCAGAACTTTTCTGAAAACTACATACCCACCACCTAGCGTGTGCATCTCAGCTCCAAACTTTCTAATTTACCCATGCAAGGATCAGGATTCTTGCAATAGGTGGATCAACAGAGAACCACTAACAGTCCAAAATAGAAAGTATGTCATACCCCAAGGAGAAGCACAAGATCAAAATTAAATTAGATTTCAAAAAGTGCACATTCACCAATACTACAGCTTGCAGTGGGAATTCACCCTTTCAAGGAAACATCATACTCTGCAGCTCTTTATGGCTTCTTCCAATTCAGAATCTGAGATGAGATTATTCAAAAAGCTAAGATTTTTCTCAACCAAGGTTGAAGGTGTTGGAAAAGCATTGAATCTCAGCTTCCTCTCACAGTCCAGTGGACAAGCACACAATGTGGGGCTGACCCATGTTCCACAGATCTTCCAGGGATATTCCAGGAAAGAAAAGGGAACTGACCTATGAGGATAGGCTGAAAAAGTAGGGCTATATTCTCTAGAGTACAGAAGAATTAGTGGAGATCTTATTGAAACATATAAGATTCTTAAAGGGCTGAATAAAGTAGACACTGAGGGTCTGTTTCCCCTGGTAGGAGAATCTATAACCAGGGGTCACAGTCTTAAAATTAAGGGTCAGCCTTTTAGAACAGAGTTGAGGAAACATTTCTTCACTCAGAGGGTAGTGAATGTATGGAATTCATTACCCCAGAAGGCTGTAGATGCTCAATCCTTGAACACCTTCAAGGCTGAGACTGATAGATTTTAAAAAAGAGGGATTAAGGGATATGGGGATAAGGCCGGTAATTAGAGTTAGGTCTGAAGATCAGCCATGATCTTACCAAATGGCGGGGCAGACTCGAGGGGCCAAATGGCCTACTCCTGCTCCTAATTTTTATGTTCTAATTCCCAGATTCCTGCTACCTAATATCTAGATTTCTCTGTTGGAAGTAAACATGTATAGGCAAAGTTGAATAGCCTGCTAACACTCACAATCCAGAGTAAAGTATGAAGAATGATGACTTGGGCAAGGTACTAGCGGACTGCTGGCTCATGGAACCATACTCCAACCTGAAGCACTTCAGGGGAAATCAGGTACAAGAATGCTGGAGGAAACAAATTGTAAGATTCATTTGTTTTGCAGTAGAAGAATTCCACACTTGATCTTTGGACAGTGACCTCTGTTGGAAAATGTGCATGTGAACGGAACATAGGTCAGCTATAATTCTTCTCAGTCAAATAGTCTCTCTACACTCGTTGTCTCGGCTCACCCACAAAAATGGTTACTGGGCAAGGCGACTGTTCTTTATTGAACTGAACATGGGCATCACCTTCAAGAGTGCGGGAGAATAAATAGAAGAAATCAGAATAAAATGTTGCTGGTAAAACAATGCCAAACCTTCCAAAATCTCACCTCACTTAAAATTCTTCCATTGATTTCACTTCAATGTTTGACTTTCTTAAACAGCACTTCTTTTAATAAACTGGGCTGAGGGGCTGAATGACCTACTCCTGTTCCTATGGACAGTGCCCCTATTTATTTAATAGTGCGTGACAAAGAGTACTTCAGCAAACTAGAGTCCCAAAAATAAAAATGCATTTTTTCAGTAGATCAATTGCTCATGGTATCTGCTTCCAGGTCATTTTCAATACTAGCTCTAACCTACTTCCACCAAGATGAAGATGTGCATGAGCAGCCTTGATGTTGCACATCACTAACAATGATTTCTACAGAGGAAGCAACTGGTCTCGTCTCAGTGTCTGCCTCAATGTCCTGCCCAAGATTAGGAATTTGCAATGTAAGTAACTACATGCTGGTATTACCACTCCATAATAGCACATTAGTGCTTTATTATCGTATCATCAAATAAAGTTTAAACTTCAAACCTCAAATACAACAGAGCACGAGGTAACCTTTCCACCATACCGAAGGAACAGCAAAGAACTATAAAGGGCTAAGAGCTATGCAATTACTCTACAAAATGCTGTCAATGCACACAATTTAGGAAGAAATGATAATTAAGATAGAAATCTGCAAAATGTTAGAAAATAATAATTAAAACAGCTGATAAACACAAAGTTGGGATGATTTGATTGCAAGACCAAAAAATAAAAATGAACACACCACACTACAAAAACTCACTTACCATCTTTTTGTTATTCTACTTCAACAGGTGAAGAAAGAAGAGAGAGAAGGTAAAAATAGAAAAGTCAGAAAAGGTTTGAGTGAACTAATCACTCCCGGAATTCTACTAAAATGCACTCCAAAATTAAAAGGAAAAAAATGACAGAACCGTGAGATAACCAGTCGTACAGTTTTGTTCAATGAGGCCTCTTTCTTTGCAGCCAAATTTACAACTGTGCAAAAAAAAAGCATTATAACAAAGCGCACTCTAACAAATCATCACCGTTAAAAATACAAGAACCAGCATAGACTGTTGAAACAAAATAAGCAAGGCACTTTTCCACGTGGCATAAAATCAATACTTTCTACTGGAGATAGATCTTGGTTTCTTAAATTTTCTTTCAAATAGAATTCCACTTGCAATAGCAAGAGAGAGTTTGCTTATTTGTTGAATGGAATATTTTTTCCAAAGCAGAAACAAATTCAAAAATCTATATTCACTCCCCAATTATTGACTTTAGACCAAAAGCAGTTGCATGATTATCCCCATTTGGTTTCTAATGTGCATTTTTTAAACACATTTTTCTCATCGACAATATATATCACCAATATTTGTGCAACTTATTCTGAATCAACTAAACTGCTTAACGTTTGCCTTCTCTAATCTGTTAGAATGGTCAATATAGAAAGAAGCATCATGAAGGCTTCTGGTGAATTGAAAATCCACTCAGAGAGAGAGATCCAATAGATTGGATTAAATCCCCAACAAAACATTAACCCTGAGGCAGTCGGTGACAGCAAGGAATTCCATCTCACACCAGGGCACAAACAAAAAAATATTACTACAGAAACAAACCACTAAAATACATATCATTATATCCTATACAAACTAAAACAATCAAATTCTGAGCATTTGCTTTACATTCTATTTTTTGTAAGCCGGCCTCTAATACACACTTATACTGTTTATCTTGTTTTAAAGAAATCTTAACCGTTTTTCTGAAGATGCAACATTTCAGATGGTTCCTTGCTTCCGATAGTTTTTCCAAAATATTTCTGTTTGGTGTTTCTGCAATTCACAACGTCATGAAAGGTTGACACCTCGTATCTGTAATTCTTGCTCCAATTTAGTCAAAAAATGTTTTAATCAGACGGTCCATTGTAGAAACAAAAACACACAAGCGTGTGGGGCTTATGAAAGGCATATTTTCCAAGCTCCGCAAATGGTGATTTTTTAAAAATTGTTATCCAAAGGTGGATCTTCAGAATGAAATATTGGCACCCAGCTTGATTTAGAAGTTTAGCATATGTTCACACAGATTGTCAGTACTCTCACCTCTGTATCAGAAAGCTGTGGTCCAATCCCATGTCAGGACTTGAACTCATAGTCTAGGCTGACATTCAGTGCAGTACTGGGAAAGCACATTTTTTGAACACACTTGAAAAAAATAGTTTGCACACTTGTCTAAAACGTGGTCTTAGTTTAAATAGTCTAATTTTCTTAACTCAAGTCAGGCATCTATACGTATGAATTAAAAATAGCATCTACATTTCCAATTGATGTTGCAACTACGACACGAGAGGTCACAAGGTAATGTCGCCTTACATCAATTTGGTTTGAAGCAACAGCAACTTACCTGATCTTTAGAGAAAAAAATTACAAAGTCTGCACAGAGTCCACAACATAAATGATGCTTAAAGTGCATTCAAACACAGATAAGAAACTTTCAAGATTTAGTTCAGGTTCTGAAGTACTTCCTGAAATGGTGGCACTGTTCTTGTGAGCTAAATGCTATTTTCAAGAGTGAAAGCTACAGAGTTTTTCTCTTTGGTTCTTTACATAAAATAAACGGTCATGATCTAAAGATGAGCACACAAAAGCTTGTCAAAAAAATTACCACCTTAAGTCACATTAAATAACAGTAGCAGAGAGGTTTCTGTAGCCATTACCTTGATCTCAATATTCCCAACTTTGGCAGTGGAGCGGATGATGGGTCGGCCAACCAAGGCCGGAAAAATATGTTCTGGGAAGTTGGAACCAGCATAGCCACACTTCACAAACTGCACAGAGTGGGGAGGAATGAAAAGCCATTTTAGTTTCACACAGTTGATGTAACCTGTAGTTCAGAAACAAGTAGTTCAGTAAACTATAAAAAATAATTCTCCATAATTAATAGCACGTCGTTGAGACGTCTCAAAGCGCTTTGCAGAATATGCCATAATGTAAATTGACTGGATATTTTGTGGGCGAAATGCAGCATTTTAGTTAATTGACGATAGATAGTTATCTTCGACTGTGCCTTCAGTCACCCACCTACCCCTACCCTCCCTCCACCTCTCCTGATCTCAACCACCAGCTTGGGTGCAGATCCCTGACTGTCCAGCACTTTGGGATGTCCTCATCACGCAAAAGGCTCTATACAAATGTAATTTATTGTTGTTGTCAAGAAAAATGTATTCTTACAAAATCCCGGATTTTTAACAATTGACATACGATTACTCTGCAAAGATCAAATTCCTGTTACATACATGTGAAATGGTACGCAACTAATTAATGAACCACTTGCATTTATATCGCAACTTTCACACAGGAAAAGGTCTCAAAATACTTCATGACAGGGACTCTATGGAAAGCTGAGTGAAGTGGGTGGAAATGACCAAAGAAACTAGATTGGGTGAGTGAACATGTAAAATGTCACACATCTCAATTATCAGATAATACAACCCATCACAAAGTCAACCATGGAACAAAATCTTATCCTCACCCAAGTTCCACACACATGCACTTTCCAGGAGAGGGTTACTGGACAGCAGCAGGAGTGGGATGCCAAGCTGATTTTTATCTTCCAAAGGCTAATCGCAGATTCTCTCCCCTCCCTACACCCTTACAATGTTGCTGTCTTTACTGTACTTTAACCTCAACCTTTCTCATACAAGTAACAATGAACAATAACAGGACAATAAAACTAAACATTTTATGCTTCATTATCACTTCCTTTGGACTACTCAAACTGCTGTATACCACTGCAAAGTAAACTATATGTAAGATTATGCATGGCTGGATACTTAATTTTATACTTTCATATTAAAAGCTTCAGTGTAGCGTCATCACACAGATACTTCCAACCAGAAATATCTGGAGACGGACAGGATTCTTGCCCCCACCAATTCAAGCCCACCCAACACCTTCTATCTTTGCAAAAAGATTTGTTTTGAACTCCTAGAAAGGCAACAGTTGGTACATTTGAGTAGAAAGCTAAATGTTTGAAACACAAGTCAAACACCATTATTTATGGTAGAAACAATATATTCCAGAGGCAGTACAGGAAAATATACATAGAATTACACAGAATGTAAAGCACTGAAAAAGACCATTCAACTTATCTCATCCTTGCTGGTGTTGAGCTCCACATGAGCCTCCACCCACCCCTTCTCCCAAATGTATTCCCTTCTTCATGTATTCACAGAGTTTCCTCTTAAACGTATTGATATTTTCTGCTTCAACAATGGCTCTGCCAGTGTGTTACACATTCTTACCACCCTCTGTGTAAAGGAGTTCCTCCTAAACTCTTAAACCTTATATGTATGTCTCCTTGTTACGGACTTACAGTCTATTTAATTTCACATTTAATCAAATCAACATCTCTTTTGGGTCCACTCTCAATCATTTTTGCCTACACAAAGTAGGCAATACACAATAACAACACTTCATAGTACATCTTGTGAAGCACTGAGATAACCTCCCAATGTGAAAACTGTTCTATCAAATGTAAGGAATCTAACCGGTCCACTTTTTCCTGGTAATCGTATCCTTTCACCCCTAGTAAAATCCAAGTATGACGCACCCTCTCCATTGCTACAATGCCCTTCTTGTAATATGGCGATAAGAACTATACAGTATTCCAATTTTGTTTTGCAATTTAACTCTACCTTGTGTTTGTATTCTATTCTTCTGGACAAAGTCCAGAACTATTTGCATTAATTATTATAATCATCATTATTAATAATCATATTTTTTTCAGCAGGGGGATGTTTTAAAAGGGATTCATAGCTTCACACCCTGTAGAGTGTAGTGATTGTGTAGTGATTTCCATGCAGGTATTTATGACCTCGTCGTCCTACTTTACAACTTTTAGGAAGTTGTTAATCTAACTTCTCAAATCTCTTTGCTCCACTAGGTTCTTTACCGTAACATCGCCCGACTCCACCACTACCTCACCCCTCAGGCTGCTGAAATTCTTGTTCATGCCTTCATCACCTCCAGGCTCGACTATGCAAACGCCCTGCTTGTTGGCATTCCCACTCCTCCCTCCACAGGCTGCAGATAACTCCGTGACCCCATCTCCCCTGACTCCATTAGCTCCTTATCCTTCAGAGGATCCAGTTCAAGATCCTGGTCCTCACATACAAAGCCCTCCATGGCCTCGCCCCACCCTACTTCTGCGACCTCCTAACCCTCTACCAACCCACCCGTTCCCTCCACTCTGCCGGCTCTGGCCTGCTCCATGTCCCCCAACCCACCCGCCCCACCATTGGCGGGAGAGCCTTCAGCCACTCTGCGCCCAACCTCTTGAATTCCATCCCCCCAGTCACTCCCCCTCGCCCCCTCCTTAGCCTCCTTCAAGCCCCACCTCAAGACCCTCCTCTTCGACCTTGCCATCGGCCACCCCCCTTCCCCTCCCTTACCCCCCCCAACCCCAGTTCGGGTCTGAAATGCTGTACTCTATCCAGCACCTTGGGACGTCCTCCCGACATGAAAAGCGCTATACAAATGTAATCTTGTTGTTGTTGTACCTCTTAGGCTTTCAGCATCTAAGGTATAAACAACTTTTTTTCATTCCTCCTATCAAAGTGAATCACTTCACATTTCTCTATACTGTAATGAACTTCATCCGCTACCTGTCCCCCGTTTGAGTTATATTCAGCCAGTTTAGTTTTCTTGCATCTTTTTGCAGTTCTCATTATTTCCCATACCCCCATTTGGCATCAATTCACACAATATATATATATGTATATTTTAAATAGTAAAGTCCAGGCCACTTTATTACCAATCAGCAAATACATCTTGCGCGATATCTTTAAGAACCCAGTGTCTCCACCTCCTTATATAACCTTCCTGGGTTATGCAATCACTTCACACACTTTTGGTTTGTGGCATTTGCTCATAACCACCAAGCAGTCATTCATGTCATGAAAAATCAAACCAACTTCCTATCAGTTAACACTTCATGCAACAAATAAGACCAGAATCAAGAGGGGCGGAGTAGTAATAATAATAATAATAATAACCCTTGCATTTGATATAGCACTTGATCATGTATTAGTAATTATAATAGGTTATAGCCTGCAAGGATTATAATAGATATAACTATAATATGCAAGGATTATTACATTATTAATTAAAAATCCCACCCGCCCCCACACCCCTTCACACACGCAGGGCATGAAACTCTATCTGAATAAAAGCTCCCACCGCCCGCCCCCACACCGAGCTGCCAGGAGCCAGGGCCTGGTTGTTAGCTGGAAAGCAGGTGGGGCTCCTCCTGCTCTGCTCTGCTCTGCTCCGGGGCCTACCTGCCCGCCCTCCCCTCACACGCTCCTGGCTAACAGCGGAAACCGCATAGGCCGGACGCGCGTTGACCCGGGGCACCGGGTAAATGGGCACAGCGGCTCCAGTTTAAGAGGCTTCCGCCGCCTCGCATCAAAAGGAGCGCCAGGGCTTACCCCGGTGCCGTTGTCACACACCACCACCTTCTTGCCCTGACTGTCCATGGCACCGATGCCGTCGCCTCCGCCGCCGGATTTTTTTTTTACTCTCCGCTCGAGCTGCTGCTACCAACCGCCGACCGACCGACCCATCCGGCGGCTCGCGTCACGTGTTTCCGGACAACGCGAGCGACCCGTGAGGTAGGTGTGTGTGTGTGTGTTGGTTCAGTGACGGGACGGGCGGAGGGGGGGGAGGGGCGAGGCAAGATTGGCCAATCGCTCTGGGGAACGAGCGAGGTAGGGGAAACAGACGTGATTGACAGCCATGTTGACCAATCGCGCTAAAGGCGCCAGATGATCGACAGCAATTCGGACCAGTGGATTGCGGGAGGATTATCTTTGGCGGCACGATTGACGAATCAATTGCCTCGGAGGGCGTTGAGGTGATTGTCCAATCGCTCTCCGGGGTAGAAAAATAGGTGGGAACCGCGGTGATTAACAGTAAGATCGACCAATCACGGTCGGCGACTGTCCTGGTGGTGGGCGGGTCACCCCCCGCTGCCACCTCATGGCCAGTTGATAGGGAGGGTTTGCAGAGTGGTGGTGGGCTCTTTCCTTGTGTAACAATAATAATAATAATTCTTGCATTTGATATGGCACCTTATCATATCGTTGCGAAGTCTCAAAACGCTTCACAGAAAATACTGTAATGTGGAGTGACTGCTTTTTCGGGTCGAAATCGGAAGAGGGATACGTACGACAAAATTGCATTTGTATCGCGTCTTTCACATCAGGGGCACGTCCTCAGCTGCCGGACAATCAGTGCTTTGGATCCGAGCTGGGGGTCGGGAGCGGGGTGGGTGGAGAGCAAGGACTGGCTCAGTGAGGTGGAATGTGCATCCTTGGATGGTGAAGCTGTCATCGCGTGTGTTGTGGAGTTACTGACAGGACCCAATCAGGAGAGCCTCGGTCTTGTTGATCTTTAACAGTAGAAAGTTAGCTCTCATCCGGGACTTGATGTCTAACAGACATTCTGTCAGGACAGCAGTGGTCCTGGAGTCGAGGGTGGAGGCAGAGAGATAGAGTTGGGTGTTATCCACACACATGTGGAAGTTGTCCCCATGTCTGCGGATGATGTCACCAAGAGAGAGCATATAGATATTGAAGAGGTGACCAAGGACTAAGCGATCCCTGAGGAACGCCGCATGAGACGGTGCAGGGCCAGAGGAGAAGCTGTTTGTGCAGATGAATTGAAGACAGTGTGAGAGGTAGGCTCCGAACCATTCAAGGACACTTGGCTGTGGCTGGACCATCAGTTAAGCTTCTTGAAAATGATTGAATAGACAATGGAACAAGAGGACATAGATAATTATTTGGGAAGCACAAGTTTGCAGGATTATGGAGAGAGAGCAAGGGAATGGGATCGATTTGCATAGCTCTTTTCAAAGAGCAGGCACAGACACAATGGGGCAAACGGCTTCTTTCTGTGCTGTATAATACTATGAGGGCAGAACCATGAAGGTTGAGGTGAGAGTCGTGGCAGTGGAGGATAGAGAAATACAGAACACAACCAGGCCATTCGGCATAACTCGTCCCATGTTGATGTGGTTGGATCATCAGTTAAGATTCTTGAAAATGTAACGGGAAATTTCAGGACAGACACCCGGAAATTCTTGAGATCAGATGGGCAGAAAGGCTTTCTTCATAGACCAATCTTGTGATCTTATCTTATGATTTTTCCTCACCCCCAATCCCCAGGAAGTTTGTCCTCACTCAGAGGGTATTCAACAGTGGAACAGGGTTGCTAGGAAGAGTGGTTGAGGCCACTCTAGGACTTATTTTAAAAAACAGTTGATTCAGTGATGGGTATTCTGGAAGGATGAGATCAGATGGGTTTTCATCATACAGACCAATGTTGTGATCTTATCTTATGATTTTCCCCACCCACAATCCTTAAATTGATTGGATGAATCAATCTCTCAACCTCTCCTTCCACATCCACTCTGCTACCCACACCCACGGTCACTTGCTCGACCTGGTGATCACCCGGAGTCTCAGCATGTCGGATGTCACCATCACTGACAAGGCCACCTGTGACCACCATATCATCTCCCTCAACTCCCATATCCCTCTCCCCACTGCCTCCAAATCTACCACCATCTTCTACCGCCCATGGAAGAAGATCTCCCCGCAAACCCTCTCTGCTCCCCTGGAGTCCTCCGAACTCCTCCCCCTCTGGCCCATCTCTCGCACCAACCCACTCGCTGCGCTTACTCTTCTCCACCACACTCTACGCCCTTGCCACCCTCACCTCCCGAACTGCCTCCTATTCCCGATCTTCACCCTGGTTCACCAGCCACCTCCGCTTGCTTAAGGGCCAGGTGCGGTCTGCGAAACACACTTGGCTCAAATTCGGCTTGACGGTCCACCCCCACATCTGGCTGGACCTCATCAAGAACTACTGCTCTGCTCTCGCCTCATCCAAATCATCCTTCTATTCCAAGTTAATCCTGGAGGTGAAGGGCAACCCCAGGCGCCTATTCTCCACCACCAACTGGCTCCTCTGCCCTCCCCGCCACACCTTGCAGTTTCTTTCCTCTGACTCTCACTGCGAGAAAATGCTGGACTTCCTCGAGTCCAAAATCGAGGGAATCCGCTCAGCTGCCACTGCCCTCCCAACTTCCACCCCCTCACTATCCCACTCCACACAATTAGCCATCCGACAATTACCCATTCCTCCTTCCACACCTTTGAACCTGTCACACCCTCCTCTGACTTCACCACCGTAACCTCCATGAAGCCCACCACCTGCTCCCTGGACCCATCCCCATCCCTCGCCTTAAATCCCAGCTCCACCTCCTTGCAACACTATTCACCGACATCATTAACCTCTCCATGTCATCTGGCACTGTTCCTTCCCCCCTCATAAACAGCCTTTATCACCCCCACCTTGAAAAAACCTTCCCTTGACCCATCACAGCTATCTAGCTACCGGCCCATCTCAAATCTCGCTTTCCTATCCAAGGTCCTTGAGAGAGCCATTGCCTCCCAGCTTCGCTCTTTCCTCTCCTCTCACTCCCTCCATGAACCCCTCCAATCGGGTTTCTGGAAGCTGCACGGAAACTGCTCTGGTCAAGATCACAAACGACATCCTGACCATGTGTGACCAGAGGCTCCCTCTGCCTTCGCGTCCTCCTTGACCTCTCCATCGCCTTTGACACTGTGTGACCACGGACCACTCAATCCTCCTCCACAGCCTCTCCTCCCACCTCAACCTTCAAGGTTCTGTCCTTGACTGGTTCAGGTCCTACCTTTCACACCGCCTCCACTTTGTTGCGGCAAACGGCTTCTCTTCCAGCCCCCGCACTGTCTCGTGCGGTGTTCCTCAGGGCTCTATTCTCGGTCCCCTCCTCTTCACCCTCTACATGCTCCCCCTTGGTGACATTATCCGTAAACATGGGGTAAATTTCCATATATATGCGGATGACACCCAACTCTACCTCTCTGCCTCCACCCTGAACTCCAGGACTACTGGCATCCTGGCCGACTGCCTGTCCAACATCAAGTCCTGGATGAGGGACAACTTGCTCCAGCAAGCCCATCCTGATCGGCTCGTGCCTCCACATCTGAGGCGCTGGCAGCATCAGCCTCCACGACTACACACTCAACCTCACTAAGCCAGTCAGGAACCTCGGTATCTTGTTTGACCCTGAACTGTCCTTTCTCCCCCACATCCGCGCCATGACCGGCACTGCCTACCACCACCTCCACAACATTGTCAGACTCCGCCACTATCTCACCCCTCAGACTGCCGAAACCCTCACCCACGCATTCGTCACATCAAGGCTCGATTACGAGAACTCCTCATCGGCCTTCCCGACTCTTCCCTTCACAAGCTGCAGGTCATCCAAAACTCTGCAGCTCGTGTACTCTCACTCACCAGGCTCACTCCCACCCTCACCCGACTCCACTGACTTCCCATCCCCCAGAGGATTGAGTTCAAAATCCTTGTTCTCACCTTTAAGGCCATCCATGGCCTTGCCCCCTTCTACCTCTCTGACCTGCTGACTCTCTACCAACCTGCCGGCTCTCTGTTCATCGGGCTCCGGTCTGCTCCATATCTCTCGTCTGACCCGCCCTACCATCGGTGGCCGGGCTTTCAGCCTCTCTACCCCCACACTCTGGAACTCCATCCCACAGTCCCTTCGCCTCGCTTCCTCCCTTGCCTCCTTCGAGGCCGTTCTCAAGACCCTTCTCTTCGACCGCAATACGCTGTGATCTACAATGCATTTGAGTGTAAGCATTAATTATATCTGCCTATGATGAGCCAGGCAGCCTGGTCAGTCCTGAGGTTCCCTGCAGCAGGACGGAGCTGCCGCCGTCTCAACAAGTGACTCCGTTCTGCTCTATCCTGGGACGTTTGGTGCCACCGTGAAGTCAGAAGCTGCGGAGACATCCCCTTCACCTCCACCCACCGAATGTATAGCAAGTCACATCTTAGCCATCACACTGGGGGAAAGTGCAATCGCAGGGCAGCTCCTTTATCAAGATGGCGACGAATCCATTACCAAGATGGCGGCCAGCGGCGCCTCTCAGCCACGGGCTCCAGTACTGATGTGGGTCCGCGCTGAGCTCAGGGTATCCCGGTCTCTACCGGCCGAGTTGCACCCGCTGCACGTTCTCGTGCCCGCCTCGGCCTTCTCAGGACAGGCCGCAGCTTCCGGGCCCGGTGGCGGCTGCGTCCTGTCCCTGCACCGCCGCCCGGCCTCGGCTTCACCCTCGGGCCGTGGTTTCTTCGTCTCGGCCTCGTTCGCACCAGAGGACGAGCCGGAGGAAGCGGGGCCCGGGGAGCAGGAGCCGCTCCAGATCCGCACCAGCGAGCTCTTCCTGCGGCACTACGGCGGCCTGCGTGGGGCGGCCGCGGCTTGTGGGGAGGAGCGGCTGCCCGGGAGCGAGGCGGCGGTGCCGGTGTGGGCCCGCCTGGTGCAGCCGGTGCCTCCTCTGAGCCGGGCGGTGCTGGCCGCCCGCACCCGCGCCGCCTGGCGATGCCTCAGCTCCCAGGCCTTCAGCCGCCGCCTCCTGCTGCTGAGCTGCCAGCGCCGGCCCCTGCTGCTCCGCCAGGGGGACGCGCTGGCCCTGCCCCGGGACTCGGGCTGGACGCCAGGCGAGGCCGGGGATGAGGAGGCCGCAGTGCTGGTGCTGGAGTGCAGGCCCGTCAGTCAGGGCGCGCTGACTCTCCGCACCAGTCTGGTGCTGACACTGCTGCCCGAGCCTCAACCACAGGCCCCGGCGCCGCCGCCGCCGCCTACCCGCCTGCTCTGCGCCTCCGACTTCACGCACTACACGGGAGGCCTGGATTTGCAGCGCGGAGCCTTGGGCTCGGGCTCGGGCTCGGGCGTGGCGGCGCTGCTGGAAGCGCTCGAGTGCCGGCTGGAGGCGCGGGTGCTGGGCCTGGCCGGGCTGGTGGAGCGGGGCCGGCTGGCGGCCAGGCCCGGGCCTGAGGCCTGCTCAGCTCACGGTCTGGGCCTGGATTTGGACAGCTGCCTGGTGCTGAGCAGGCCGGCCCTGCGGCGCCTCGGCCTCTTCAACCGCGAGTGGCTGGCCTTGTGGCTGCTGGAGGCAGGGGGTCAGGAGCCAGGCCCGGTGTCGGCCGGGGCCCGCTGGGCCTCGGTGCTGGTGGTGGATGATCCGGGGCTGGAGCTGGGGGCCAGCGGGGCGGCCGTATCACCCGCCTTCTGGTTTAATGTCTCGGGCGGGGCTCCGCTGCCTGTCACCGGGAGGCTCCTGGGAGCAAAGGTGAGGCCCGGGGGCTCGCCAGAGGGTTCATGTGGGTCAGTGGGAGTGTGTAAGGTGTGCGGGTGGGGTTTGGGTGTGAGGGGAGGCAATGTGTAAGGTGTGCGGGTGGGGTGGGGTGTGAGGGGAGGCAATGTGTAAGGTGTGCGGGTGGGGTGGGGTTTGGGTGTGAGGGGTGGCAATGTGTAAGGTGTGCGGGTGGGTGGGGTTTGGGTGTGAGGGGTGGCAATGTGTAAGGTGTGCGGGTGGGGTGGGGTTTGGGTGTGAGGGGTGGCAATGTGTAAGGTGTGCGGGTGGGGTGGGGTTTGGGTGTGAGGGGAGGCAATGTGTAAGGTGTGCGGGTGGGGTTTGGGTGTGAGGGGAGGCAATGTGTAAGGTGTGCGGGTGGGGTGGGGTTTGGGTGTGAGGGGAGGCAATGTGTAAGGTGTGCGGGTGGGGTTTGGGTGTGAGGGGTGGCAATGTGTAAGGTGTGCGGGTGGGGTGGGGTTTGGGTGTGAGGGGAGGCAATGTGTAAGGTGTGCGGGTGGGGTGGGGTTTGGGTGTGAGGGGTGGCAATGTGTAAGGTGTGCGGGTGGGGTTTGGGTGTGAGGGGAGGCAATGTGTAAGGTGTGCGGGTGGGGTTTGGGTGTGAGGGGAGGCAATGTGTAAGGTGTGCGGGTGGGGTGGGGTTTGGGTGTGAGGGGAGGCAATGTGTAAGGTGTGCGGGTGGGGTTTGGGTGTGAGGGGTGGCAATGTGTAAGGTGTGCGGGTGGGGTGGGGTTTGGGTGTGAGGGGAGGCAATGTGTAAGGTGTGCGGGTGGGGTGGGGTTTGGGTGTGAGGGGTGGCAATGTGTAAGGTGTGCGGGTGGGGTTTGGGTGTGAGGGGAGGCAATGTGTAAGGTGTGCGGGTGGGGTTTGGGTGTGAGGGGAGGCAATGTGTAAGGTGTGCGGGTGGGGTGGGGTTTGGGTGTGAGGGGAGGCAATGTGTAAGGTGTGCGGGTGGGGTGGGGTTTGGGTGTGAGGGGAGGCAATGTGTAAGGTGTGCGGGTGGTGGTTGGGTGTGTAAGAAGCTGACTGTGTTTCTGCTCGCAGCCGTGTGCGTGAGGCTGGAGGTGGGTGTGTAAGGTGCGGTGGGTTTGGGTATGTAAGTTTGCGGTGGGTGTGTAAGGAGGTGACTGTGCTCTCTGCCCGCAGCGTGTGTACGAGACTGGCCATGTGGGGAGGTGTGGGAAGGACAGCCGGTCTGTGCTCAGCGTCCCTCCCCTGACCAGCGAGCTGCACCTGGAGACCATCACAGCTCCCCAGTATAGTGTGGGGGAAGAGTACGACAGTGTCCTCTGCCAGCACTTCCTCACTGCCAGGTCAGAGCCACACTGTTGGTCCAACAGTTGGTCTACCAATACCGCCTGCGTCCTTATTCTCTCCCCCACCACACCCCCAAAATGTCTGCGTTTCGGTCCCTTGCCACCCAGGGGTGTCTCCTTGAACCTATGATCCTCATTGGCTACACTGGATCCCCCAGCCCCCAAAGTATAAAGTTCAAAGTCCTCGCCTTCAAAGCCCTCCACAAGGCCTTGGTCCTCCCTACCTCTATGATCTGTTAACTCCATACAGACCTCTCCGCTCGGCAGTCTTTGGCCTGCTCCATGACCCCCGCCCTGCCTGCCACACCAATGGCAGTCCGGCCTTCAGCCTTCATACCCCCAGCCACAGTCCTGAGTGCCCCCTTCAAGGCACGCCTCAACATCCTCCTCTTCAACAGCGCCTTTGGTCACCCTCCTATCGTTATCCTCCCTGCCCTCTACCCCTCTTGATCCCAACCCTCAGCTCGGGTACAAATCCTGACTATCCAGTCCCTTGGGACATCACCCAATGTGAAATGCGCTATACAATTGTAACTTGTTGTTGTTGGCTTAGGATTGGGGGGGGTGCTGCTGTTTGCAGAGGAGGTAGGTTGGAATCATGCTGATATGTATCTGTTGCAGGCTGGTCCAGGTTGGAGATGTGCTGTGCGTTCCCACGCGGGATAAAGTGGACTTCATTCAAAATTCCTCAGACAAAGCCCTCAGGTAGCAGTGTCTGAACACTTGGAACACCCACAGGTCCCTTCACTGGAATTTCTATAAGGTCACTGCCCCTGGGGGAGAGAAGACGTGGTCAGTTCTGTGAGGGGGGGGGGAGCATGGGGGGTGGTTTGGTCAGTCCCTGGGAGGTAGGTGTGATCGCTCCCGGAAGGGGGGGGTTGCAGTCAATCCTAAGGCTGGGCAGTGTGGTCAGGCCCACAGCGTGATCAGATCTCCTCTCAATGCCTGCAGGTGGCCGGTGCTGTATTTCAGGGTAAAGTCCGTGTCTGAAGGGAAGCCCCCCGGCCTGAGACTGGGACACCTGGGACACCTGGCCCACCGCGAGCACACCTCTCTCTACCTGGTGAGTGTTTAGACCTCCTCAGCAACCGCGCCTGCTAATGATTTCAAGGGAGTGAGTGTGTGTTTATGCTAGTATGATTGTGTAAAGGTATAAATGTTTGCAAATGTACACATGTAAAGTTTTTGTGGGTTGGTAGGCAAGCGTATGTGTTGGAGAGTACGCTTATGTGTGGGAGTGTGTGTGTGCACATGCCTGACGTTTGCATGTGAATGCAGGTGTGCAGGTGAATAAGCATGTTCACTTGTGTGTATTCATGTATGTGTACCTGCTCTTTGTGTGTGAAAATCGGTGTGTGCAGGTGAACAAGCGTGTGTGTGTGTGTGTCTGACTGGTGTTTCTCTCTGTTGCAGGCTGGTTGCACTAACAGCTTTGTTCCCTCCTATGCTGCCTGTGCTGGGAACCCAGTGTGGGGTAGTGTGGCTCCCCCTGGCCTGGCTCACACTGTAGACCAGCTCTCTGACATCATGCTGCCCTACCTGCAAACCGGGTACGTCTGTATCCAACCCGTAAGATATGCCATTGCTGCTTATAACCCACATGCATAATATATTTATTTATAAGGCAACTTTCACATCAGGAGGATGTGCCAAAGAGCTGGATGGTCCAGGGATCCACTTCCCAGTCCCGCTCCTTCACTCGATTGGCACCGGCCTCCTGCTTGTCCCTTACACCACCGTTCTACCATTGGAGGTCGCGCTTTCAGCCACTGCGCCCCCCTCTCTTCCTCAATCACTCTGCTTTGCCCCCTCTCTCCCCAGTCCCCAGCTGCCTTGACCGCCCCATCCATCGGTTCCTCTGTGAGACTCGCTGCTTCTGATCCCTGGGAGTAAATTTTGCTTCGCTCATCTTCACCCTTCCTCCCAATCCTCCTCCCTTTCCTTCTCCTCCCTTACAATCACCCTCCCTTCTCCTCCTGCAAACTCCACAGCTACCTGTCCCCTTTGCCATCGCACTCCAGAATGTCTACTCTCTTCGGCAACCAGTTCGCTACATTTTTGCTGTTTATAACCCATAATCTGCTGTAATCTGTCTTTAACCTGTGGTATGATTGACCTGGGAATATGGACGGACAGTGGAGAGGGAACTTCAATCTGCATTTTATCTGTGACATATCTGAACTGGTAGTGTGGACGGACAATGGAGAGGAAGCTTTACTCTGTATGTAACTCTCTGTCACACAGGCCGTCGGTGCTGGCAGGGCCGTGTAGTGTGCTGCTTTGGGGACCGAGCGGCAGTGGGAAGGCAACCGTGGTGGGAGCAACATGTTACAGATTACACCTGCATCTAGTGAAGGTCAGTGCTGAGGGGAGTGGGCAGTGTGTCCCCGAGGGAAGAGGGGGGNAAGTATCTGCGTGTCCTGTGGGGAGGGAGTTGCAGGTCCCAGGAGATTGGGCAGTCTGTGACTCTCGGTCTCTCACAGCTGCAGTCTAGCGGTCTGTGTTCCAGGTAAGTGGAATCCTGTAGCGTAGTGGTTAGCGTGTGTGCCACACAAGTGAGAGCACCTGGGTTCGATTCCTGAACTCTTAGCAAGTTTCCTTACTCCACATGGCACCGTTTACCTAGCAGTAAATAGGAACCTAATTGTTAGTCGATTGGCACATTGTGGTCACTCAATCTGCGACTATTTGTGGGACACTCCTTCGCGCAATTGGCTACACATTTCGCTCATACAAATGTCAATCCACTTTACAATATATTCTGTGAAACACTTTGAAACATTTCAATGATGTGATAAGGCGCTATATCAAATGCAAGTACTATTATTAAGTGGATGTCTGGTTTGGGGGTGGAGGGGTGAGGGTTGTGATGCAGGGAATGTGGGGTCTGTCCACTTTTCCTGTCCTCTTGCAGTGGAATGCGGCAGTCTATGTTCCAGGAGAAGTGAGTGTCTGGTGGGGGAGGGTGTCCTGGGTGGGGAAGTGGGGTTTGTGACCCAGGTAGTGTGGGGACTGTGACTCTCCTTGACCTCCCCACTGTGGGGAGCCTGACCTCTCTCTTTCGGTGGCAGGTGGAATGCAGTGGGCTGTGTGGAGACTCGGTGGGAGCCACGGAGGCCCGGCTGACAGCGGTGTTCTCTGTGGCTGACACACACCGACCGTGCGTGCTGCTTCTGCGCAATGTGCAGCGACTGGCGGCCGAGAGGGACGGAGTGGGAGAGGACCCCCGGCTCGTGGCCACTCTGCACCGGCTTCTGACAGAGCTCGTTCAGGGACCCAGGTACTCTGTGCTGGGTCCAGCGGGGCTGTGTAACCCTCCCCTCCCCCCACCTTTTTCTCTCTCTCTGGTAAAAATTACCCATTGGGGAGCCTGACTCCTCTCAGTGTCTCTACAACAAAAGGTGGGTGCTGACCACTCTCTCTCTCTGGCAGGAGGTACCCAAAGTCTGTTTGTAGGACATTGTTGTGCACAATTGTGCTGCCACATTTGCCCACAATGCACGGTGATTCCATTTCACAGTAAATCCTGTGAAGCGCTTTGCGATGTCCTTCCGACATAATCAATGCAATATTATTATTATTTACCCGATGGGCACGTTGGGGAGGCTGACCTCTCTCAGTGTGGCAGGGAGCTGTGTAACTCCTCTCTCTCTCTGTGGCAGGGAGCATCTCTCTCTCTCTCTGCTATCTCTGTCTCTCTCTGTATGTGACAGGCAGCTGTGTAACCTCTTTCACTCTCTGTGGCAGGCAGCTGTGTAACCTCTCACGCTCTGGCAGGCAGCTGTGTAATCTTTCTCTGTGTGGCAGGGAGTACCCAGTGCTGGTGGTGGGCACGGCAGGGAAGATGAGGGATTTGGGTGACGGGGCCCAGGCCGCATTCCTCCATCACGTGGAATTGGAAACGCTGTCCGAGCAGCACAGGAGAGAGCTACTAAGCGCGCTCAGTGCAGGACTGCCTCTAGGGAGCGATGTCAACCTTAGCAAGATTTCCCAGCAAACAGCTGTAAGTGCAAGCGGACATGTGTATCAGCCTGGCTCAGTGGTAGCGTTCTCGCCTCTGAGTCAGAAGGTTGACGGTTCAAGCCCCACGACCGGACTTTGAATCATGTAGTTAAGATTGCACTCCAATGCAGTGCTGGGGTGTGTTGCAATATCGGAGGTGCTGTCCTTCGGATAAGACCTTAGACCAAAGTTCCATCTGCTTGTTGGATGTTAAAGATGTTATGGCACTATTCAAAAAGAGAAGGGAGTTTCTCTCTCCCGGTGTCCAGGCTGACAATCCCCCAAAATAAATAAAATTGGTCACTTGCTTCACAACTGTTTGTAGGACACTGCTGTGCGCAAATTGGCTGTTGCGTTTCGCCCACTAAATACATAATCGATCCACTTTACAGTATATTCTGTGAAGTGCTTTGAAACGCCTCAATGACATGATAAGGAGCTATAGCAAATGCAAGTTTTATTATTATTAAGTGTGTGTGTGTGTGTGTGTGTGTGTCTCCCAGTCCCTGGCCTGCATGTCCTGACGATGAGTGAAGTTCGTTCTGTTGTGGTCAGTGACACAGGTTGCTCTCTTTGTGCAGGGCACTGTGTTGGGAGATATGTGTGCATTACTGAGTCACGCCAGCAGAGCAGCCTGTGAGAGAGCACGGAGTGGCTGGTGAGTAATTACCAACAACAACTTGTGTTTATATAGCACCCCTCATACAGCGCAGTGTCCCAAAGAGCTTGACATTTGCGGAGCCTGATGTCAAGCCGGAGGGAGGAGGTTAGTGACCATAAGCACGATCGAAGTCTTCAGGTGTGACCTAAAGAGGGGGAAAGGCAGGGGAACAGAGTGATAGCGGTCCAGAGTTTGGGGACGTAGTGGCTGAAAGCACGGCCACCGATGATGGAACGGAGGGCACGAGGGTCAAGCAGGAGGTCAGAACCAGTCGAGCCGAGGTGAATTGATCCGTTTGGTTACAGGGAGCCAGTGCAGCCTGGTTAGAACAGCTGTGATGGGGGTACGACGTTAGTATGGGTGCGTATGTGGGCGGCAGAGTTCTGGATTAACTGGATTTTGTGTGTAGTGTAGCTGGGGAGACCAGCGACGTGGGAATGGAAGTAGTGAAGGTGGGAGGTGAGGTATGTGTCATTGTCGCCCTGTGTACAGGCTGGCCTGGATACACGCTGACTTTGCTGTTCCCAGTTTCCCAGGCAGCCGCCCCTCGGAGCGGGAGGACCTGGACCTCAGCGCAGCTGGAGTTTGTGTCCAGGCCCAGGATTTCCAGAACGCTCTGGACCGGCTGCAGTCATCCAACGCACGGGCTCTTGGAGCACCCAAGGTTAGTGCGGGACTCAGGTGTCCATGTCTGTCTCACTTCCGTAATCTTTTTCTCCTCTCTCCCCCACTCTCTCTTTACCCCCAACCCGTCTCTCTTCCCCGTTCCCCCCTCTCTCTCCTGTGTCTGGCTCTCTCCCTTCCCTCTCTTCCTTCTCTCTCTCCCCTCTCCCACCCCCCTTCCCCTCTCGCCCCCCCCCTCTCCTCCCCCTCGCCCTCTCTTTCTATACCTCTTCTATCTCTCACTACTCTCTCCCTCCGCAGATCCCATGTGTACACTGGCAAGATGTGGGGGGACTGCGGGATGTGAAGCAAGAGATCCTCGACACCATACAACTGCCGCTAGCTCACCGAGAGCTGCTGACTCAGGGGCTGCGCAGGTCGGGGCTGCTGCTGTACGGCCCCCCCGGCACTGGCAAAACCCTTCTCGCCAAGGCCGTGGCCACCGAGTGCAGCATGAGCTTTCTCAGGTCAGTGACCCCTCGCAGGGGGCTGTGTGTGCATGTGTCTCTGTGTGTGTCACTGTGTATATGTCTGTGCGGGCGCCTCTGTGTGCACACGTGTCCTCTGTGTTTGTATGTTTCTCTCCTCCTGCACTCTCCCTCCCTCCCTCTCTACCTCTTTCCTTCCTCACCCCCACTGCAATATGCTGATAAATATATTTGTTCCCCAGTGTTAAGGGTCCTGAACTAATCAACATGTATGTCGGACAGAGTGAGGAGAACGTGCGAGAGGGTAAGACACAAGTGACCTGGGGGTGTGTGGTGGGGCCGTATGTATATGAAATGGGATATTATGTGTATTGGGGGAGAGAGGTTAGAGGGGGATGGGAGGGAAAGGAGGACTGTGCAAGTGTGCGAGTGCGTGTGGAATGAGGGTGTTATTTATGTGGGGGGGGAATTACCACATCCAGCTTCGACTCCAGGACCATTGATGTCCTGGTTAATTGTCTGACATCAAGTCCCGGACGAGAGCTTACTTTCTCTAGCTCAGTGTTGGCAAGGCAGAGGCCCTCCTGCTTGGCTCCTGGCAGCGCCTCCTCACCTCAGCCGCTGACACTATCGCCATTCATGACTGCACTCTTCACCTCACCTCACCAATCCGAAACCTTGGTGTCCTTTTCGACCCTCAGTTATTCTTCAAACCCCACATTCATACCGTGACCTCTTCTGCTTTTCCACACCTCTGCAACATTGTCCGCCTCCGCCACTGCCTCTCACCGCAGGCCACCAAGACCCTGATCCATGCTTTCGTTACGTCCTGGCTTGACTATGCCAACCGCCTGCTCGTTGGATTTCCCAACTCCTCCCTCCACAAGATGCAGATTATTCAGAACTCTGCAGCTCGTGTCCGCTCCCGCACCAGCCTCCAGGAACCCCCATTCTTGCCCAGCTTCACTGGCTCCCCATTCCTCAGAGAATCGAGTACAAAACCCTCGTTCTTGCCTTCATGGACCTCCACGGTCTTGCTCCCCCACCTCTCCGACCTCATAACCCCATATTAACCTGTGCATTCCCTCCGCTCGGCAGACACCAGCCTGCTTCAGTTTCCCTTCATTTCCCGCCCCATCATTGGCGATTGGGGCATTCAGCATCTCTGCTCCCACACTCTGGAACTCTATCCCACAATCCTTCTGCCTCACCCCCTCTCTTGCCTCCTTCAAGTCCCGTCTGAAGACCTTCCTCTTCGACCATGCCTTCAGTCACCCTCCCACCCGCACCTCCCGTGCCTTCCTCCCCTTCTGACCCCAACTCCAGTTCGGGTCCAAAAGGCCTGATTGTCCAACGCCCTGGGACGCCTTTCTGACTTGAAGACCGCTATACACATGTAATATTGTTGCTGTTGTGTGTATGGAAGGGATGTGTATGTGGGGGTTAGGTGGGGCCAGGACCCTGACTGGCCCTGATGCTGTGTGTTGCAGTGTTTGCTCGGGCCCGGGCTGCTGCTCCCTGCATCGTGTTCTTTGATGAGCTGGATTCACTGGCCCCAAACCGCGGGCGGAGTGGAGATTCAGGCGGTGTCATGGACAGGTACAGCTCTCTGTGACCAAACAACTTGTCCGCCTCGCCCTTTGCCTGTCCGCCTCGCCCTCTGTCTGTACACTTTTTTTACACGTCTATCTCCCTTTCTCACTTTACATATCACTCTCTTCACACATCTCTCACTGTGTCTCTCTGCGTTCAGGGTGGTGTCACAACTTCTGGCAGAGCTGGACGGGCTGCACTCCAGTGGGGATGTGTTTGTCATTGGAGCCACAAACCGGCCAGACCTCTTGGACCAGGCACTGTTGCGGCCCGGCAGGTGGGTGAGAGACTCGGGACCCGGCCAGACTCGCTATTACAGCAATAATCCTTACATCTCATTACAGCGTCTTTCACTTAGGGAAGATCTCTAAAAGAGCTTCACAGGATGTACTGTAAAGTGTAGTGACTGCATTTGAGAGGGATCATAGTAGCCAGTTTGTGCACAAAATGAATGACCAATTTTATTAGGGGGATTGTTGGCCAGGACACTGCAAAAGAAAAACTCACTTCTCTTTTGGAATAGTGCCGTAGGTTCTTTAACTCCTGGAACCTCGGTTTTACGTCTCATCTGAATCACGGCATCTCTTAACAATGCAGCCCCACGCCTCCCAACCGCAGTGTACTGGAGCGTCAACTTAGATTTAGCGAGTTTGCATTCCCGACATGAGGTTTGAACCTACGACCTTATGACTTGGGCAAGAGTTGATACCATCAGAGCCAGGCTTGACACATCAATATCCCCCAGGTACAGGGAATACAGTAAGAGGGTGAGACGCTGCCCATATCACTGCACTGGGATATCTGGTGTCAGGCTAACGTGCTGTGCTCCCTGTGGCCCAGGTTTGATAAACTACTGTATGTCGGAATCACTGAGGATCCTGAGGCACAATTACGAGTACTGGAGGCTATAACACGGAAGTGAGTACTCAACCTTCACCACTCACTCATCCACCCCTCACCCCATGTCCTGCCTCTGTGCCCTCCCCGCACCCCAGCCCCCCCCCCCGCACTCCCTAGCCGCACCCCCCCCCGCGCGCCCCAACAACACCTTGTGCTCCCGCGCCACTGCCCGCCCTCCCCATGCCCCGGCCCCCATCCCCCCCGCACCCCGGCCTCCTTTGCCCCTCCCTCCTCCTTGCATCGCCCTGCCCTCCCTGTGTCCCCTGACCTGTATTTGTGGGCAGATTCCAGCTGGATGCCTCAGTCAGCCTACGCTCTGTGGTGGAGCACTGTCCCCCTCACCTGACGGGGGCCGACCTGTATGCACTCTGCTCCGATGCCATGATGTCAGCCACGAAGAGGCAGATCAGCCGCATTCAGCAAGGTGTGTGACCCCATCCTGTGCTACGTTATGTGTATTACAATTACAAGTATTAGAGGCTGTAACCGCCTCTAACCTTTCACTCGTTCTCTCTCATATACTGCTCTCTCTCTTTTTCTCTCTCTCATTTGCTCCTCTCTACTGCGCTGTAGGCCTGGACACAGAGGAGTCAGAATTGTTGCTGACACAGGAGGATTTTGAAAGTGCCCTCAGCACTCTGGAACCGTCTGTCTCCGAGTTGGAGCTGAGCAGATACCGACAGCTACAGTATAGGCTCAGCGGCAAGTGAGGGGCCCACCACTGTGCTCTGCACCACTGCAGTAACGGGACCCCGAGCTGCTGCCAGACCACACAGCAAGAACAGCATCCATACAGCCACACGAACAGCACTGAACTTGTCTGCAACAGGACCTGCACCGAGCTGCGTGTTCGCTGATCGCAATCGTCAGTCACGTTTGCCTTGAACCTCACAGGTTGCCTGATGTACCGACCTAGACTCTTACCTAGGACGATCAAGTGCTATGAGCCTGGCAGAGCCGCATGCTCAGAGCAGAGAGCAGGAGCAGCTCTGTCTGGGAGAGGTCTACACATCAATAGGAGTGTACGCATCAAGTGTGCCGGGACAGAGGTGTAATAATAATTCTTGCATTTGATATATAGCGCCTTATCGTATCGTTGAGATACCTCAATGCGCTTCACAGAATGTCCTGTAAAATGGATTGACTGTATATTTTGTGGGCGAAACACGGCAGCTAATTGCACAAAGCAGTGTCCCGTAAACAGACATTTTATTTGGGGGATTTGGTGGCCAGGAAACTGGGAGAGAGAAACTCCCTTCTCTTTTCGAATAGCGCCGCGGGATCTTTAACATCCACTTGGACACGGAGGCGAGACCTCAGTTTAACGTCTCATCCGTAGGTCGGCACCTCTGACAATGTAACACTCCCCTTGCACTGCTTTGGAGTGTCAACTTAGACTATATGATTCCAGGTCCCGACGTGGGGCTTGCACCCACAACCTTCTGACTTGGAGGTGAGAGCGCTACCACTGAGCCAGGCTAATGTAGGCGTTCTATGGGGTGGGGGTTTGTACACAGGTAATATGACAAACACGTCAACACCATGCTACGAGTCAGATGATGGCCACCTCGTTCGCAGTGTCCTAGCCTCGTTTGCTCCTTCAGTCCTTTCTGATGAGGGTATAATAACAATCTTTATATTTGATAGTGCCTTATCACATCATCCAGACTTCTCACAGCGTTTCACAGGATTTTTAGAATCATGTTCTTCCCATAACCTCTCCCTCCTCATCCACTCCCCACCCATGACTATGGCCATCCCCTTGACCTGGTGATCACCCAGGGCCTCACAGTCTCAGACATCACCATCATTGATAAAGTCATCTCGGACCACTACTTCATCTCCCTCAACACCTCCATCCGTACCCCTTCCCCTTTCTCAACCCTCCACCATCACATACTGTCCATGGAAAAAAAAATCTCTCTCTCCACTGCCCTGGAGTCATCTGAACTCCTACATCTCTGGCCCTCACTGACCAATCTCCCCTTGTCACTCTCTTTTCTCCACAACTCCCTCTCCTTTCTGGACTCCCTTGCCCCCCTCAAGGGGGACCATATCCAAACTAACGGTCCATCGGCAGATTTGGCTTCACCACACCAAGACTTACTGCTGCACTCTTGCCTCCGCTAAATCCTACTCCAAGGTTATCTCGGAGGCAAAGGACAACTCCAGGCTTCTCTTTTCCACCACAAACCGTCTTCTCCATCCTCCTTCCCATACCTCGTCCATCCTCTCAAACTCCAACTGTGAGGAGAAGCTGGACTTCCTCAAATCCAAAATCGAGGGGATACGTTCAGCCACCCCCACATCACATCTCCCTCATGACCCCATCCCCCCCCTATACTCCTTCGACCCTATCTCTCCCTCCTCCCTCACCAAGACTGTCCGCAAACTCAAACCCACCAACTGCTCCCTCGATCCCATCCCCACCTCTCTCCTCATCTCCCAGCTCCACCTTCTGGCCCCTCTTCTGTCCAACATCATCAACCCCTCGTTGTCCACCGGTTCAGCTCCCATCCCCCTAAAAACAGCCGTCATCACCCCCATCTTGAAAAAACCTTCCCTGGACCCATCCCTTCTATCCAGCTACCGCCCCATCTCAAACCTCCCATTCCTCTCCCAGGTCCTGGAATGAGTCGTCGAGTCCCAGCTCCACTTTTTTTTCTCGCCATTCCCTCTTTGAACCCCTCCAATCCGGCTTCCGCACTGCCCATAGCATGGAAACAGCCCTGGTCAAAGTCACTAATGACATTCTGAACATCTGTGATCAGGTCTCCCTCTGCCTCCTTCGACACGGTCGACCACTCCATCCTCATACTGCCCTTAATCTTCGCGGACCTGCCCTTGCCTGGTTCGATTCTCTCTCACCATCTCCACTTTGTTGCCTCTAACATTTTCTCCTCCAGCCCCGCACTGTCACGTCTGGCGTCCTCCAGGGCTCTGTCCTTGGCCCTCTCTTTAATATCGACATGCTCCCCCTTGGTGACATCATCCGTAGACATGGGGTCAACTTCCATATGTTTGCGGATGACACCCAACTCTTATCTTTCTGCCTCCACCCTCAACTTCAGGACAACTGCTGTCCTGACAGACTGCCTGTCGGACATCAAGTCCTGGATGAGGGCAAATTTTCTAGAGTTGAATGTGAACAAGACTGAGGCCCTCCTGAGCGCCTCAGCACCTCAGGCTCTGGCAGCATCAACCTCCATGGTTGCACACTTCAACTCACCGAGCCAGTCAGGAACCTAGATGTCTTGTTCGACCCTCAACTGTCTTTTCTTCCCCACATCCAAGCCATGACCCGCTCTGCCTTCCCTCACTTCCGTAACATCGCCCGACTCCACCACTACCTCACCCCTCAGGCCGCTGAAACTCTTGTTTATGCCTTCATCACCTCCAGCCTCGTCTATGCAAACACCTTCCCAACTCCTCCCTCCACAGTCTGCAGATAATCCAGAACTCTGCAGTCCATGTTCTCTCCCGCACCAAACTCTGTGACCCCATCTCCCCCATTCTCGCCCAACTCCGTTGCCTCCCTATCCTTCATAGGATCCAGTTCAAGATCCTGGATTCAAGTCTCTCCTCAAGGCCCTCTTCGACCATGCCATCGACACCCCTCCCTCCTTCCCCTCCGCTCCCTTCTTCTCCACTGACCCCAGCTCGGTTCTGAAATGCGGTATACTGTCCAGCGCCTTGGGACGTCCTCCCGACGTGACAGGTGCTATACAAATGTAATGTTGTTTTCCTGTATCTAGAAAAAAATGTGCACTCTACCGCACCAAGCTCCGTGACCCTATCACCCCCATTCTCACCCGATTCCACTGACTTTCCATCACACAGAGAATACAGTTCAAGATCCTGGTCCTCACCTTCAAATGCCTTCATGGCCTTGCTCCCTCCTACCTCTGTGACCCCCTACCAACCTACCTGCTCCTTTTACTCAGTGGGCTCCGGCTTGCTTCACATTCCCCTCCTCGCCCGCCCCACTATTTGCGGGTGGGCCTTCAGCCACTCTGACCCCACCCTGTGGAGCTCCATCCCACAATCCCTCTGCCTTGGTCCCTCCCTTACCTCCTTCAAGACTCATCTCAAGACCTTCCTCTTCAACCGTGCCCTCCACCCTCCCCAGCTTGGGTCCGAAACACTTAACTGTCCAGTAGCTTGGGACGTCCTCCCGACATGAAAGGTGCTATAAAAAAGTACTGTTGTTGTTGCTTGTACCCGTTAGTGCTTTGGCTTATAGGGTTAACAGGAGCTGAGTGGGATGACTCCCTGACCCCCAGTGATTGGTCTACCCTTTCAGGCCCTGCCGATGAGCCAGGCTGGCTGAGCTGTCATCAACAGTGCCCTGGAGTCCTGCGGCCCTGCCTGGCTCAGGAACCGGACTAGCGAACATCACTGGCTTGATTTTGACATCCCGTTGCCAGGCATGTCACTTTGGAGCCCGTTCAACTCTAAGGAGACCCCACTTACCTCTCCTACCCACACCACCAAGGAAGATAGACCTTGAAGAGAACGACCAGAGTGCTCTTTGCCCCCTATCAGGGCAGTGTCAAAGTAAAACCAGAACCCCCAGATACTGATCATGGTCAACAATTCAGACTGTTTCTCCTTTATTTCCAATTAACACTCTCCTTTCCTGAACTGTGCAGAACTGTAACACTGTACTGGGTGGGGGGGCATTCACCATCAAGTCCAATTGGGTGACCTGTGTTGAAGATGATGAGGACAGCCCCACTGTCTATCACTCAAACTTATACTCCTCCCCCACCTGTCACTCACACTGAGCCTCCCCCCACCTGTCACTCATACAGACTCCTCTCCCGCCTGTCACTCATACAGGCTCCACCCCCCGCCTGTCACTCATACAGACTCCTCCCTGCCTGTCACTCATACAGACTCCTCCCCCACATGTCACTCATACAGACTCCTCTACTGCCTGTCACTCATACAGATTCCTCCCCCCTGTCACTCATACAGACTCCTCTCCCGCCTGTCACTCATACAGGCTCCACCCCCCGCCTGTCACTCATACAGACTCCTCTCCTGCCTCTCATAGACTCCTCTCCCCCCTGTCACTCATACAGGCTCCACCCCCCGCCTGTCACTCATACAGACTCCTCCCCCACCTGTCACTCATACAGACTCCTCCCCCGCCTGTCACTCATACAGACTCCTCTCCTGCCTGTCATAGACTCCTCTCCCCCCTGTCACTCATACAGGCTCCACCACCCGCCTATCACTCATACAGACTCCTCCCCACCTGTCACTCATACAGACTCCTGTCCTGCCTGTCACTCATACAGACTCCTCTCCCGCCTGTCACTCATACAGGCTCCACCCCCCGCCTGTCACTCATACAGACTGATCCCCCACCTGTCACTCATACAGACTCCTCTCCTGCCTGTCACTCATACAGACTCCTCCCCACCTGTCACTCATACAGACTCCTCTCCCACCTGTCACTCATACAGACTCCTCTCCCGCCTGTCACTCATACAGACTCCTCTCCTGCCTGTCATAGACTCCTCTCCCCCCTGTCACTCATACAGGCTCCACCCCCGACCTGTCACTCATACAGGCTCCACCCCAGACCTGTCACTCATACAGACTCCTCTCCCGCCTGTCATTCATACAGACTCCTCCCCTGCCTGTCACTCATAAAGACTCCTCCCCTGCCTGTCACTCATACAGACTCCTCTCCCGCCTGTCACTCATACAGACTCCTCTCCTGCCTGTCACTCATACAGACTCCTCCCCTGCCTGTCATTCATACAGACTCCCCACGACTGTCACTCATACACACTCCTCCCCCGCCTGTCACCCACAGACTCCTCTCCCGCCTGTCACTCATACAGACTCCTCTCCTGCCTGTCACTAATACAACAACAACAACAACAAGATTCCATTTATAAAGCGCCTTTCACGTCGGGAGGACGTCCCAAGGCGCTGCACAGTTGGGTCATGACCCGAGCAGGGGGAAAATGGTCAGGGTGAGGGGAGGGAAGGGAGGGAGCGAGGAGGGGGGAAATGGTCAGGGTGAGGGGAGGGAAGGTAGGGAGCGAGGAGGGGGTAGAGAGTCGAGAGGGGAGCTGAAGGCTCGGTCAAAGAGAAAGGTTTGAGACCGGCCTTGAAGGAGGAAAGGGAGGAAGCGGCGAAGGCACTGGGGGATGGAGTTCCAGAGCC